CGAAAGAACAGACGACTTTTGGTCGACAAATATATATTTATTCGGGGACAACCCTACTGGAGACGAATGTGAAACCAGCCATATGGAAGCAAACTGAAAATCATATTAACATGACAGGAAATAAATAGCTGTGCCGTTATTTTGAATTTTAATTGTGTGGATGAAATGTGGAGACCCAAGCCATAGGCTGTAAGGCTGAACCTACGAAGTTGATGTATGCGCTTTAGAATGTTTTGAATATATTTTTTATTTTACAATTTGTATCATGTTCAATATTAGCCACTATCGGGAGCCACCGTCAGTAATGCCAACATACATTTATATTTTGCATCATTCCATTCCTTGTCACATAAGATGTCATGACATGTTTTGACATTTGTTATGTCATGTTTATGACCATGTTATGACACTGTTATGACATACAGTTCAAATAAACTGTTACCAATGTACGCTTTGTGTTCGTGAAGGCTAACATATCATCCTAAAGATGACAACATTTTATCTTGTTGTTGTTTTGTCATGGGAAGTTGAATGCAAGGTTTATTAGGTCTACAATATCTTTCATCAAGATCTTGTAAATTACATCTGACTGTTAGCCTCCACAGAGGAAATCTTCATTAATATTTACATTTTATTGATGACAGATTTGTGTTTGTGTAGGTTACTAAATAAAATGTCAATTGTAGCTTAAACTTTATGTTGAGGTTGGAATTCAAATGTTTGATTTTACACCAATGACAGACAGCATTACGAGATTAATCCGGTTGCTACAAGGTTTCATTCGAAAGTCAAAATGACATTCGCATTCGAAGCCACAGCAGCATCAACATTGTATCTACTGTACTGATCTTAACGTAATGACATCATCCTGTGTTATGCATAGTAAAAAATCATTCGCACAAAGAAAGCACATCCCTTGCTATGTGGGATACTTTGTAGGTCCCAACTCACCCCATTGAAGCTGAAATTGATAATCAAATCAAATCAAATCAATTTTTATTTGCCACATGTGCCGAATACAACAGGTGTAGACATTACAGTGAAATGCTTACTTACAAGCCCTTAACCAACAATGCAAAGTAAAACAAATAAAAAAAGTGTTAAGCAAAAAAAAGAAAAGCAAATAACTAAAGAGCAGCAGTAAAATAAAATAACAGTAGGGAGGCTATATACAGGGGGGTACCGGTGCAGAGTCAATGTGCGGGGGCACCGGCTAGTCGAGGTAATTGAGGTAATATGTACATGTGAGTAGAGTTAAAGTGACTATGCATAAATAATAAACAGAATAGCAGCAGAGTAAAAAAGGGGGACGGGGTGGGGGGGCAGTGCAAATTGTCCGGGTAGCCATGATTAGCTGTTCAGGAGTATTATGGCTTGGGGGTAGAAGCTGTTGAGAAGCCTTTTGGACCTAGACTTGGCGCTCCAGTACCGCTTGCTTTGCGGTAGCAGAGAGAACAGTCTATGACTAGGGTGGCTGGAGTCTTTGACAATTTTGAGGGCCTTCCTCTGACACCGCCTGGTATAGAGGTCCTGGATGGCAGGAAGCTTGGCCCCAGTGATGTACTGGGCCGTACGCACTACCCACTGTAGTGCCTTGCGGTCGGAGGCCGAGCAGTTGCCATACCAGGCGGTGATGCAAACAGTCAGGATGTTCTCGATGGTGCAGCTGTATAACTTTTTGAGGATCTGAGGACCCATGCCAAATGTTTTCAGTCTCCTGAGGGGGAATAGGCTTTGTCGTGCCCTCTTCACGACTTTCTTGGTGTGTTTGGACCATGATAGTTCGTTGGTGATGTGGACACCAAGGAACTTGAAGCTCTCAACCTGTTCCACTACAGCCCCATCGATGAGAATGGGGGCGTGCTCAGTCCTATTTTTTTTCCTGTAGTCCACAATCATCTCCTTTGTTTTGATCACGTTGAGGGAGAGGTTGTTATCCTGGCACCACACGGCCAGGTCTCTGACCTTTCTCTATAGGCTGTCTCATCGTTGTCGGTGATCAGGCCTACCACTGTTGTGTCGTCGGCAAACTTAATGAAGGTGTTGGAGTCGTGCCTGGCCATGCAGTCATGGGTGAACAGGGAGTACAGGAGGGGACTGAGCACGCACCCCTGAGGGGCCCCCGTGTTGAGGATCAGCGTGGCAGATGTGTTGTTACCTGCCCTTACCACCTGGGGGTGGCCCGTCAGGAAGTCCAGGATCCAGTTGCAGAAGGAGGTGTTTAGTCCCAGGATCCTTAGCTTAGTGATGAGCTTTGAGGGCACTATGGTGTTGAATGCTGAGCTGTAGTCAATGAATAGCATTCTCACGTAGGTGTTCCTCTTGTCCAGGTGGGAAAGGGCAGTGTGGAGTGCAATAGAGATTGCATCATCTGTGGATCTGTTGGGGCGGTATGCAAATTGGAGTGGGTCTAGGGTTTCTGGGATAATGGTGTTGATGTGAGCCATGACGAGCCTTTCAAAGCACTTCATGGCTACAGACGTTAGTGCTACAGGTCGGTAGTCATTTAGACAGGTTATCTTAGTGTCCTTGGGTACAGGGACTATGGTGGTCTGCTTGAAACATGTTGGTATTACAGACTCAGTCAGGGACATGTTGAAAATGTCAGTGAAGACACTTGCCAGTCGGTCAGCACATGCTCAGAGTACACGTCCTGGTAATCCGTCTGGCCCTGCGGCCTTGTGAATGTTGACCTGCTTAAAAGTCTTACTCACATCGGCTACGGAGAGCGTGATCACATAGTCATCTGGAACAGTTGGTGCTCTCATGCATGCTTCAGTGTTGCTTGCCTCGAAGTGAGCATAGAAGTGATTTAGCTCGTCTGGTAGGCTTGTGTCACTGGGCAGCTCGTGGCTGTGCTTCCCTTTGTAGTCTGTAATAGTTTTCAAGCCCTGACACATCCGACGAGCGTCAGAGCCGGTGTAGTACGATTCAATCTTAGTCCGGTATTGACTCTTTGCCTGTTTGATGGTTCGCGGAGGGCATAGCGGGATTTCTTATAAGCGTCCGGTTTAGAGTCCCGCTCCTTGAAAGTGGCAGCTCTAGCCTTTAGCTCAGTGCGGATGTTGCCTGTAATCCATGGCTTCTGGTTGGGGTATGTACGTACGGTCACTGTGGGGACGGCGTCATCGATGCACTTATTGATGAAGCCAGTGACTGATGTGGCGTACTCCTCAATGCTATCTGAAGAATCCCAGAACATATTCCAGTCTGTGCTAGCAAAACAGTCCTGTGGCTTAGCATCTGCGTCATCTGACCACTTTTTTATTAACCGAGTCACTGGTGCTTCCTGCTTTAGTTTTTGCTTATAAGCAGGAATCAGGAGGATAGAGTTATGGTCAGATTTGTCAAATGGAGGGCGAGGGAGAGCTTTGTATGCATCTCTGTGTGTGGAGCAAAGGTGGTCTAGAATTTTCTTTCCTCTGGTTGCACATTTAACATGCTGGTAGAAATTAGGTAGAACGGATTTAAGTTTCCCTGCATTAAAGTCCCCGGCCACTAGGAGCGCTGCCTCTGGATGAGCGTTTTCCTGTTTACTTATGGTCTTATACAGCTCATTGAGTGCAGTCTTAGTGCCAGCATTGGTTTGTGGTGGTATATAGACAGCTACGAAAAATATAGAAGAAAACTCTCTAGGTAAATAGTGTGGTCTACAGCTTATCATGAGATACTCTACCTCAGGCGAGCAAAACCTTGAGACATCCTTAGTATTACATTTTTTGCACCAGCTGTTGTTTACAAATATACACAGACCGCCACCCCTTGTCTTACCGGAGTCAGCCGTTCTATCCTGACGATGTAGCGTATATCCCGCCAGCTGTATGTTATCAATGTCGTCGTTCAGCCACTACTCAGTGAAACATAAGATATTACAGTTTTTAATGTCCCGTTGGTAGGATAACTGTAATCTTAGGTTGTCTACCTTATTTTCAAATGATTGAACATGGGCTAATAGGATTGATGGAAGAGGCAGTTTACTCGCTCGCCGTCGGATCCTTACAAGCACCCCGACCTACGTCCACGATATCTCCATCTCTTTCTCATGCGAATGACGGGGATTTTGGCCTTGTCGGGTGTCTGTAGGATATCCTTCTCGTCCGACTCATTGAAGAAAAAATCTTCGTCCAATACGAGGTGAGTAATCGCTGTCCTGATATCCAGAAGCTCTTTTTGGTCATAACAGACGGTGGCAGAAACATTATGTACAGAATAAATTACAAATAACACCAAAAAACACACATAATAGTAGAATTGGTTAGAGGGCTGTAAAACGGCAGCCATCTTCCCCGGCGCCATTATATCAAAGGTTAAGGTTTGGGTTAGGTAAGGGTTATGGTTCTGGTTGGGTTAGGATAAGGGTTAAGGTTAGGGTTTAGGGTATGCACGTCCTAACAGTGTTGCCAACTTAGCGACCAAGTCGCTATATTTAGCGAGTATTCATACCCCTCTAGCGACACATTTTCAAAAAAGCGACTAGCGACAAATCTAGCGACTTTTTCTGGTGTTATTGGAGACTTTTGGAGACTCTGACGTGAAAGCACGTATCGTTCTTACTCTTCTCAATGAGCAGCGTGTGCTGCCGTGGGCCCCACCCCTGTCCCAAAGCACTCACAGGCGTCCCAGTCCTTGCACAGCAGTCCCTCCCAGCTGCAGTCAGACCTCAAATGAATCGCGAGAGTGTCTCTTTTGGGTCACTTTTGCCGGTCCCAAGCCCAGATAAAGGAGGAGGGTTGGAATTGTGACATAAAAAAAAACAAGACTCGACAGAAGAAAGTTCATTTGTAGTTCTAAACTTATTTAGGGTGTTTTTTACTCACATTTTGTCTCTCCCAAGACGTTATTCCTCTCTCCTACAGCATCCATCACAATTACATGTACATTGCCAATTATGCAAATTAGACGATGACGTCATTTAGCGACTTCTACAGACTTTTAGGACAGCCAATAGCTACTTTCCTTACTGAGGAGTCTGCAACACTGCCCAAGTATCCCGGATTGCACTAACCAATAAAGCGTAGAAGATTGCTCGAGTTGGAAAAGTAGGGCTCGCTTGTACGACACTACAACAAAATCGTTTAATTAAAATATTTATCATTTTCAAAAGTTGGTGCTCTAATTGTATCTACATTGAGAATTCAACCTGGAGGGACAGAAAAGTAACGGGTGCCGTTCCTGGAAGAAAACCGCTATAGATTGTGTTCACTCCTGTGCCGAAACTGGAATATTATGGGAGCTGTCTTGGCCGCCTTTTCTGTCGCAAGCTGGGTACGTTTCTTCTCATATGATATCACGAACATATCTGTGCACAAAAACCAGGTTGACATATGTGACAAACATAAAGAATGGTTTAGTATCCCAATCTTCAACTGAGCTCATACAAGGTTGTCAGGATTATGTCACGTAAGCAACAGGTCAGAATCATGAGGAGACGCAGGAGCCTGTCACTCATCTTGAAACGAATTACATTAACAAACGGACTCGGATGGTGGTAGCCTATGTGATTGACTAGGACTTGGTTATGTATCTGCTTGTGTGAAAAGAAGGTTTTGATTTGCCTCTGCTTTTGCTCTGGCTTGCACTGGTCTCCTCAAATTTCAGGTCGCAATATTTGTTTACATTATAGAATAGAATATACATTTTCATAGGGAAAAGGGAAATAAAACCTATTTGCCTCCCCCAAGTAGCCGACAATACACACATAGTATGGGACTACTGTAAATCCTAAAGGGTTAATCATACTACTAGTAGTCATCTGCTCTACTCATGATTAATTGGATTAACAGTGCTTGCTGCCTTGTCCTAGTCCAAAAACAAAGGCCATGGCATGCTTAAACCGTTGCCATAATATGTATGTGGAGCAATATAACCTAGATGTAATAACGTACATATAATAGTCTACATGTAAGAAATGCATCTTTTGGTCATCTCATACAGTGTTATTGTCATATTATAGCCTAGACTAGAGACTAGAGCAAAATATGTCATGATGTAACAACAAGAGGACAAAGGGGCATTGGTCCTGCATTGGGCGCAGCTCAGAGATAAGTTATACAGTCGTACTTTGTCTCAGGCCCAGCTAATAAGTGTAGGCTGAGCCACCAAATACACAACCACCACACAACGTTTCCATGAATAGTTTCAAAAACATTAGTAGGCCAGGACGTTCAGTAGCTACTCAAGTACATGCAGCTAGACATACGAATTTAGGCTTTTGCTGAGGGGTAGTGTTGAGATTGAGACAAACGCATACAACAACAAGTCTAATCCAATGTCTTCCAACCTCCATTTGAATTGTCTGGCTATTAGACAGTCAACTTGTGATTCTTGGTTCTTCTCCACATTGACCCAGCTAAAGCAGGTCAGGTTTATGTTAACCACAGGATGGCCTCATCAGTCATGTGTAAAAGATTTGTCTCGCTGGCTTGCACATATTCTGGCTTCCCATGGCTAAACTGACCTTGTGTCTGTCTGCCTGGGGTATTAAGTTGTTTACAAGCTAGTAGGCTATCTAGGGCTCCTCAGAGTCAGGTGTCTTAAAGGTACAACGCCGTAATCCCTTTGTAATGGTTAGGCTATGGCGATACTGTCACACTGTTGTATCACAGTTGTGGTTGGTTAGACATATTTATTGTTTCTCTGTCTTGGTTGAATAAGTAAGGAACAGCAATATCTCAACTTCTCCTAAGTACACTTGATTTTACCCCCACAGTCCAAAAGACAGTTGTCGACTTGTTTTGATTGCGTTTGGATTAGGTTCTGGCCTACTACCACATTGCTGCAGTACGTAGAGCTTGAAGTGCCACGACTAAGGTTAATCAGTCCACTTGAGCGTCTGCACTGACTCTGGCTTGTCCCTAGCTGACCTACAACGTTAGGGGAACGTTTGACAATGGTTTTCCCCTCTATCTACAACCTCACAGGAACATTTGGCAATGGTTTTCCCTTGTCTCTTTCCGTCTAGGTGCCGTGTCTGTGTAGCAGTGCGACGTGCTTGATGTGCAGATGTTGTCCCCAGAGCAAGAACTCCACGGTGACGCGAGTCATCTACGCCTTCATCCTGTTGCTAGGGACCATTATAGCCTGCATCATGCTGTCACCAGGAGTGGACGAGCAGCTAAAAAAGGTAGGAGACGGGTCAAATCAATTCAATCCATCTGAGTGAGGCAGGAAGTGTGCGCGTGTGTGTGTGTCTTTGTGTGGAGGGGTTATGGAGACGATTAATCATGCTGTGTCATAGTAGATGTTTGTACATGGTGAATGATCATTTGTTACTTTAATAATGCTTGAATACACGGGGAGGCTATTGGTGGAAAGAGTCAAGTCACACATAGTATAGCACGGTGGGGGCCTACACACAGAGTTGCAACTTCCAATGCAACCTTACTGTATGTTAAGGTTGCATTTACATTGCAACTCGGCCTAAATTGAAACATTGACATATATTAATTCCAAATGGGAATGTTGAATGACTATGGTTGGTTACTGATGAATTGTGAAAATTTGACTTTTGTGGTACAGTAATGATAGTAGCCAACTTGTTGTTGATTTACAGTACCAAAGCAAAAATTTTACGTTATTGAATGCAGAATCGCACAGCCAGACTATGGTAATGCTGGTATGGACAGTAGATAAGACTGACCTGAATGCTTTGTGCCTATGTCCGTCTGTGCCTGTAGATTCCTGGGTTCTGTGAAGACAGAGCAGGCTCCTCTATCCCAGGCATCAATGGAAACATCAACTGTACGATCTTAGTGGGCTACAAAGCCGTGTACCGGGTGTGCTTCGGGATGAGCATGTGTTTCCTGGCGTTCGCTCTGATCATGATCAACGTGAAGAACAGCCGAGACCCGCGCGCCGCCATCCACAACGGGTAACCACCCATCACACAACGCACCCCTCAAAAAAAGTAAAAGGGCCTACATGCTACTACATGTAATAAAACTTAAATGCCAACTTTGACTTCAAAGTCTGTATTTCGGTGAAATCCCTTTATTATTAACCCTTTACACTTGTGGGAATTGGTCTATATGGAAATGGCTAAATTGAAATGTTTCTTACAGAAGAAATATGGAAAGCATATGCATAACCATGGTAGCAACTGAAAGGGAACAGTTTTGAGTTATGGTAAAATTATTAGACCAAAGGTGAGAACACAGCAGTTCACCAAGACTGAATCCAAACATTACACTGTTGATTTTATGTTAATTTTACATTTACTGTACTTTTCACCACATTTCAAATCTGAAAATACTCTGGATACATTCAGTAACATGATAAGAATATTCCTGGAAAATGTTGGGTACAGTGAGGGAAAAAAGTATTTGATCCCCTGCTGATTTTGCATTTGCCCACTGACAAAGAAATGATCAGTCTATCATTTTAATGGTAGGTTTATTTGAACAGCGAGAGACAGAATAACAACAACAAAATCCAGAAAAACGCATGTCAAAAATGTTATAAATTGATTTGCATTTTAAATGAGGGAAATAAGTATTTCACCCCCTCTCAATCAGAAAGATTTCTGGCTCCCAGGTGTCTTTTATACAGGTAACGAGCTGAGATTAGGAGCACACTCTTAAAGGGAGTGCTCCTAATCTCAGCTTGTTACCTGTATAAAAGACACCTATCCACAGAAGCAATCAATCAATCAGATTCCAAACTCTCCACCATGGCCAAGACCAAAGAGCTCTCGAAGGATGTCAGGGACAAGATTGTAGACCTACACAAGGCTGGATTGGGCTACAAGACCATCGCCAAGCAGCTTGGTGAGAAGGTGACAACAGTTGGTGCGATTATTCGCAAATGGAAGAAACACAAAAGAACTGTCAATCTCCCTCGGCCTGGGGCTCCATGCAAGATCTCACCTCGTGGAGTTGCAATGACCATGAGAACGGTGAGGAATCAGCCCAGAACTACACGGGAGGATCTTGTCAATGATCTCAAGGAAGCTGGGACCATAGTCACCAAGAAAACAATTGGTAACACACTACGCTGTGAAGGACTGAAATCCTGCAGCGCCCGCAAGGTCCCCCTGCTCAAGAAGCACATATACATGCCTGTCTGAAGTTTGCCAATGAACATCTGAATGATTCAGAGGAGAACTGGGTGAAAGTGTTGTGGTCAGATGACAAAAATTTAGCTCTTTGGCATCAACTCAACTCGCCGTGTTTGGAGGAGGAGGAATGCTGCCTATGACCCCAAGAACACCATCCCCATCATCAAACATGGAGGTGGAAACATTATGCTTTGAGGGTCTTTTTCTGCTAATGGAACAGGACAACTTCACCGCATCAAAGGGACGATGGACAGGGCCATGTACCGTCAAATCTTGGGTGAGAACCTCCTTCCCTCAGCCAGGGCATTGAAAATGGGTCGTGGATGGGTATTCCAGCATGACAATGACCCAAAACACACGGCCAAGGCAACAAAGGAGTGGCTCAAGAAGAAGCACATTAAGGTCCTGGAGTGGCCTAGCCAGTCTCCAGACCTTAATCCCAATGAAAATCTGTGGAGGGAGCTGAAGGTTCGAGTTGCCGAACGTCAGCCTCGAAACCTTAATGACTTGGAGAAGATCTGCAAAGAGGAGTGGGCCAAAATCCCTCCTGAGATGTGTGCAAACAACAAACTAAGTCATGTTTTGCAGAGGGGTCAAATACTTATTTCTCTCATTAAAATGCAAATCAATTTATAACATTTTTGACATGTGTTTTTCTGGATCTTTTTGTTGTTATTCTGTCTCTCACTGTTCAAATAAACCTACCATTAAAATTATAGACTGATCATGTCTTTGTCAGTGGGCAAACGTACACAATCAGCAAGGGATCAAATACTTTTTTCCCTCACTGTAGGTGCAACATAAGACAAAAAACATTACAAGGGTTTGAGTGAGAGGACTAACTGGTGTCTCCAAGTGGCCACACACCTCTCCAAAGTGTGCACAGTTCCTAAGTAATTTCAATGCACTTTTATGACTCGAAGAATCTTCAACTATACGTTTTTGTTGTTGCTGTTGCTCTCCTACCTCTGCCGTTGAGGAACTAGAGCAAGCACACTTGTATTTGTTTTGTTTGGAACACAACCCTGCATCACCACTCTCACACAATTATTGATGTTGTTTACACAATCCAAAAACGGTCCATTATAAATCGCAATCTGGGTCAGGTGGGCATCATTTGAAAGCCTGTTCTATTGCCAACATGACTAGCTAAGTTATAAAATACGATATTACAGTGTTGGGCTTTCACAATGTAATTCAGGGTAACAGATCATCATTTTGGTGCCCACAGAAAGGAATCATGAGTGCATCAGGTGCTTGTGCCGAGGCATATTTTCTTCACAATAGACAAACAGGCTCATTCTGTTCAGAACAACCAAGGGTATGTATGACGCCATGTCATCTTGTAACTGTACATCAAACATAGTGATCGTAAACGTTGACACTATACAGTATATGAGATGAGTTTTATGATATGGAAATGTGAAGTGCACGTTTGGAGTCACGGCTGTTTGGCTTGCTTGTATGACATCGAAGCGGTATTTATTATAATCCTCAACGTCTCATCTTTGAAAATACATCGAGTCCTCTTAATTTACAGCATTTCCCAGCATTTACAGACAACAAAAAATGGATGGGGGCAACTTCTTGTCGCGTGAGGTGCTCAAGTTCAGAATGGCTGTCAGTCAAAACCCATACAGCACTGTGAAGCACAGAGCCAGAGCTCTGACGTCATGTATAGCATGTTACTGTACAGCCACTGTGTTCCAATTAAGGCGTTTATCTGCAATTTTCAACCCGTATACGGGTACGATTGTAAAGTGCTACCTCAAAATAACACTGCTTGTAACTTAACAATTCTCATAATGAGGTACTGATAAGACACTCTTGTTTGCTGACAACTTTCTTTCAGTCATATGATTATCACACTGCTACACGCACTGCCGCAACCAAGGGCAATATTAGTGAAATAATCTCATACACAACGGGTCACTGAGCTAACGTGCTTCAGGCCACCGTGCTGAGGAGACTGAGGAGAAAACCTGAACTAGAGTTTTCAGTAGCAGCCTATTCATGTATATTTACTAGTTGACAAATTACTTTTCTCCCCCCCCAGGTTTTGGTTCTTTAAGATGGCTGCCATGGTTGCGGTGACAGTCGGTGCCTTTTACATTCCTGAAGGGCCTTTTACTCGCAGTAAGATTGACACAATTGAAATCCTTTCTGTCATAGTTTATGATGTGATTGATATTTGTATATTATTATGATTTATCAATGCAGCCCTTGACCATGCATACCATGCACAATCAGCATACATGATATACTTTGATATTAAAATGTATAGTAATATTAACACTATTAATTATTGATATACACAATGATAATCATGTAATAAGTAACAGTAATATTTTTAGGAACCGCTTGTGGATAAGTGTAATATGATGATGGTCTCTTTCTCTGTGTGTGTGTGTGTGTGTGTGTGTGTGTGTGTGTGTGTGTGTGTGTGTGTGTGTGTGTGTGTGTGTGTGTGTGTGTGTGTGTGTGTGTGTGTGTGTGTGTGTGTGTGTGTGTGTGTGTGCAGTGTGGTTCGTGGTGGGTACCTGTGGGGCGTTCTGCTTCATCTTGATCCAGTTGGTTCTGCTGGTGGACTTTGCCCACTCCTGGAATGAATCCTGGGTGGACAACATGGAGAGAGGGAACTCCAGGGGCTGGTACGCAGGTGAGTCTTTCTGGCACGTTGCTGGAAATCAAATCCAATCAAACTTTATTTAAAATCCGCTTACAGGGGCTCCCGAGTGGCACAGCGGTCTAAGGCACTGCATCGCAGTGCTAGAGGCGTCACTACAGACCCTGGTTCGTTCCCGGGCTGTATCACAACCAGCTGTGAACGGGAGTCCCATAGGGCGGCGCACAATTGGCCCAGCGTCGTCCAGGAAAGGGGAGGGTTTGGCCGGGGGGGGGGGGGGGGGGGGGGGGGCTTACTTGGCTCATCGCGCTCTAGCGACTCCTTGTGGCGGGCCGGGCGCCTGCAGGCTGAACTGGGTCGTCAGGTGAACAGTGTTTCTTCCGACACATTGGTGCGGCTGGCTTCCGGGTTAAGCGGGTGGGTGTTAAGAAGCGTGGTTTGGCGGGTCATGTTTCGCCTCCCGAGCCTGTTGGGCAGTTGCAGCGATGAGACAAGATCGAAATTGGGGTGAAAAAAGGGGGTAAATAAAAAAGTATAATACAAAAAATCATCCACTTACAATCGCAACACACTTAGTTAGCAATAAAACAATAAAATGAAAGAGGGGGTGAAAAGAACATAAACACACACTCAAACAGTCTTTATGATTGGCCAAATTATTGATGTTTTGCTGATTAGAAATGCTGATGGGAGGTTTAATTTGACGTTTTAGCAAATATTCACCCGTTTTTTTTGTATGTGATATCAATTCAACACAATTGGTAACTACCTGGTACCAAATAGCACATAACAGTAATTATTTGAATGAATCCAAAATAGTAATTACTGTATCAAATCAATCAATCACATTTTATTTATAAAGCCCTTTTTACATCAGCAGATGTCACAAAGTGCTATACAGAAACCCAGCCTTAAACCCCAAACAGCAAGCAATGCAGATGTAGAAGCACGGTGGCTAGGAAAAACTCCCTAGAAAGGCAGAAACCTAGAGAGGAACCAGACTCTGAGGGGTGGCTGTGCCGGGTGGAGATTATAACAGTACATGGCCATTAAGGGCAGATTTTTCTCCAAGATGTTCAAACGTTCATAGATGACCAGCAGGGTCAAATAATAATCACAGTGGTTGTAGAGGTTGCAACAGGTCAGTACATCAGGAGTAAATGTCACTTGGCTTTTCGTAGCCGGGCATTTAGAGGTTGAAATAGCAGGTGCGGTAGACAGAGAGAGAGAGTTGAAAACAGCAGGTCTGGGACAAGGTAGCACGTCCGGTGAACAGGTCAGGGTTCCATAGCCGCAGGCAGAAGAGTGGAAACTGGAGCAGCAGCACGACCAGGTGGACTGGGGACAGCAAGGAGTCATCAGGCCAGGTAGTCCTGTGTCACGAATTCAGCCGAGGCTGCCCCTCCTCCTTGCTCGGGCAGGTTTCGGCGTTCGTCGTCACCGGCTTGCAAGCCACTACTGCTATATTTATCATCACTCCATTTGTCTTGTCTTATCTTGTCAATCACACACACCTGGTACTCATTCCCTCATTAGTCTGTGTATAAGTGTTCCCTCTGCCCCCTTGTCCTTTGTGAGTGATTGTTCATTGTGAGAGTGAGTAGCTCGGTTGAGCTACTCTTTCCTTGTATGTAGCCAAGGTGGATGTTTCCCTTGTGCTAGTTTTGTTTTGACGCTTGCTGCGCTTTATTCATGTACACTGAATAAACTCTGGATTTCGGTGTTTTACCTCCTGCGCCTGACTCCGTCATTCACACCTCATCACATCCTGAGGCATGGTCCTAGGGCTCAGGTCCTCCGGGATGGGAGGGAGAGATACCAGCTAAATAAATGGTTAACCGTAACATACAGTAAGTTCAGGTGTCAATAGTGCTCACACTCTGTATAGTGCTCTTAGACAGAATCCGTTCTGCTTCATAATAACAATGCAACTTGATTCTGATTCAGTGTATCCTCTTGTGTCTAGCCTTGCTCGCTGTAACTGGACTCAACTACGTCATGGCCTTCATCGCCGTCATCCTGATGTACCTGTTCTACACGCAGTCAGAGGGCTGTGTACTAAACAAGTTCTTCATCAGCTTCAACTTGCTCCTCTGTGCCGTAGCCTCTGTTGTGTCTGTCCTGCCCAGAGTACAGGTGAGCCCTCGTTCAACGCTCATTCAATGCTGGTTCAACGTTCATATTCATCATTTCATTTGATGAAATTGCTCCAAAGTTACTGTATAGAACAGATAGGACTATTAGAGAGTGTAAAATAGGGACCTTGTAGCAGTCGCAAGGACAAAATAATTAGCAGGAGGTAGAGTTGGAAATTAGTGTTGGATTTATTTTTGACAGCGCTGGTGATGATGGTGATCAATTCACAAGTTGATATATTTACAAACGTCTGACTTCAAAATGTCAGAATTCAATCAGGCATAACCTGTCCTAAGCATAAAGACACAGGTAGGGTCTACTAGACTCAGTTGCAGCCTCCCCAAACGAATCGTCAAACAGAACTGACCAGAACATACCCAAACGGGCACTTACAGTGCCTTCAGAAAGTATTCACACCCCTTGACTTTTTCCACATTTTGTTGTGTTACAGCGTGAATTTAAAATGTATTAAATTGAGATTTTGTGTCACTGGCCTACACACAATACCCCATAATGTCAAAGTGGAATTATGTTTTTCTAAATTTTTACAAATTAATTAAAAATGAAAAGCTGAAATGTCTTGAGTCAATAAGTATTCAACCCTTTGTTATGGCAAGCCTAAATAAGTTCAAGAGTAAAAATGTGCTTAACAAGTCGCATAATAAGTTGCATGGACTCTTTGTTCAAAAATAGTGTTTAGCATGATTTTTGAATGACTACCTCATCCCTGTACTCCACACAAATAATTATCTGTAAGGTCCCTCAGTCGAGCAGTGAATTTCAAACACAGATTCAACCACAGGGAGGTTTTCCAATGCCTCGCAAAGAAGGGCACCTACTGGAAGAAAAAAAGCTAACGTTGAATGGGATATCCCTTTGAACATGGGGAAGATATTAATTACACTTTGGACGGTATATCAATACACCCAGTCACTACAAAGACACAGGCGTACCTTCCTAACTCAGTTGCCGGAGAGGAAGGAAACCGCTGAGGGAATTCACTATGAGGCCAATGGTGACTTTAAAACAGTTACAGAGTTTAATGGCTATGATAGGAGAATACTGAGGATGGATCAACAACATATAAATAAACAACATTGTAGTTACTCCACAATACCAACCTAAAAGAAGGAAGCCTGTACAGAATACAAATATTCCAAAACGTGCATCCTGTTTGCAACAAGGTGCTAAAGTAATACTTTAAAAAATGTAGCAAAAGCAATTAACTTTTTTGTCCTGAATACAAAGTGTTACAGTATGTTTGAGGCAAATCCAATACAACACATTACTGAGTACCACTCTCTATATTTTCAAGCATAGTGGTGGCTGCATCATGTTATGGGTATGCTTGCAGTCGTTAAGGACTGGGGAGTTTTTCAGGATAGAAATAAACGGAATGGAGCTAAGCACAGGCAAAATCCTAGAGGAAAACCTTTCCACCAGACACTGGGAGATTAATTCACCTTTCAGCAGTAAAATAACCTAAAACACAAGGCCAAATCTACACTGGAGTTGCTTACCAAGAAGACAGTGAATGTTCCTTTGTGGCCAAGTTACAGTTTTGACTTACACTACCAGTCAAAAGTTTGGACACACCTACTCATTCAAGGGTTTTTCTTTATTTTTACTATTTTTTACATTGTAGAATAATAGTGAAGACATCAAAACTATTAAATAACACATATGAAATCATGTAGTAACCAAAAAAGTGTTAAACAAATCAAAATATATCTTATTTATGAGATTCTTCAAATAGCCACCCTTTGCCTTGATGACATCTTTGCACACTCTTGGCATTCTCTCAACCAGCTTCATGAGGTAGTCACCTGGAATGCATTTCAATTAACAGGAGTGCCTTCTTAAAAGTTAATTTGTGGAATTTCTTAATGCGTTTGAGCCAATCAGTTGTGTGACAAGGTAGTGGGGTATACAGAAGATAGGCCTATTTGGTAAAAGACCAAGTCCATATTATGGCAAGAACAGCTCAAATAAGCAAAGAGAAACAACAGTCCATCATTACTTTAAGACATGAATGTCAGTCAATATGGAACATTTCAAGAACTTTGAAGGTTTCTTCAAGTGCAGTCGCAAAAACCATCAAGCGCTATGATGAAACTGGCTCTCAGGAATGGAAGGCCCAGAGTTATGTCTGCTGCAGAGGATAAGTTCATTAGAGTTAACAGCCTCAGAAATTGCAGCCCAAATAAATGCTTCACAGTGTTCAAGTCACAGACACATCTCAACATCAACTGTTCAGAGGGGACTGTGTGAATCAGTCCTTCATGGTCGAATTGCTGCAAATAAACCACTACTAAAGGACACCAATAAGAAGAAGAGACTTGCTTGGGCCAAGAAACACGAGCAATGGACATTAGACCGGTGGAAATGTGTCCTTTGGTCTGGAGTCCAAATTGGAGATTTTTGGTTCCAACCGCCGTGGCTTTGTGAGACGCGTGTGGGTGAACAGATGATCTCTGCATGTGTATTTCCCACCGTAAAGCATGGAGGAGGAGGTGTTATGGTGTGGGGGTGCTTTGCTGGTGACACTGTCTGTGATTTATTTAGAATTCAAGGCACACTTAACCAGCATGGCTACCACATCATTCTGCAGCGATACGCCATCCCATCTGGTTTGGGCTTAGTGGGACTATCATTTGTTTTTCAACAGGACAATGACCCAACACACCTCCAGGCTGTGTAAGGGCTATTTTACCAAGAAGGAAAGTGATGGAGTGCTGCATCAGATGACCTGGCCTCCACAATCCCCCGACCTCAACCCAATTGAGATGGTTTGGGATGAGTCGGACCGCAGAGTGAAGGAAAAGCAGCCAACAAGTGCTCAGCATATGTTGGAACTCCTTCAAGACTGTTGGAAAAGCCTTCCAGGTGAAACTGGTTGAGAGAATGCCAAGAGTGTGCAAAGCTGTCATCAAGGCAAAGGGTGGCTATTTGACGAATCTCAAATATGAAATACATTTTGATTTGTTTAACACTTATTTGGTTACTGCATGATTCCATATGTGTTATTTAATAGTTTTGATGTCTTCACTATTACTCTACAATATAGAAAATAGTAAAAATAAAGAAAAACCCTGGAATGAGTAGGTGTGTCCAAACTTTTGACTGGTACTGTATGTCACGATCGTCTAATGGAGAGGACCAAGGCGCAGCGTTGCGGGTGAACATATTATATTTATTCAACTGATCACACGATCAAAACAAAGAACGAAACGTGAAGTCCTTCGATACACAACCAAAAGGAACAAGAAACCACAAAACACAAAGTGCAAGACAAACAGTTAAATATGGCTCCCAATCAGAGACACCCAGCTGACACTCGTTGCCTCTGATTGGGAGTCACTCAGCCCAACATAGAAAATTAAACATAGACTTACACACCCTGGCTCAACATAACATAGTCCCCAGAGCCAGGGCGTGACAGTACCCCCCCCCAAAGGCGCGGACTCCGGCCGCGCCAAACAACCACAACAGGGGAGGGACCGGGTGGGCACTCCGCCTCGGCGGCGGATCCGGCTCCGGACATGACCCAGGCACGGGTTGTGCTGGACTGACGACGCACACCCCTGGCTTGATGCGTGGAGGAGGAACGGGCCGGACCGGGCTGACGAAGCGCACCCCTGACTTGGTGCGGGGAGCAGGAATGAGCCGGACCGGGCTGACGACGCGCACCACTGACCCGGTGCGGGGAGCTTGGACGGGCCGGACCGGGCTGGCGACGCGCACCACAGACTTGGTGCGGAGAGCAGGAACGGGCCGGACAGGGCTGACGACGCACACCACTGGCTTGGTGCGGGAAGCTTGGATGGGCCGGACTGGGCTGGCGACGCGCACCACAGACTTGGTGCGGAGAGCAGGAACGGGCCGGGCTGGGCTGTCGACGCACACCGTAGGCTTTGTGCGTGGAGCAGGGACAGGCCGGGCTGGGCTGTCGACGCACACCACTGACTTGGTGGGAATGGCAGGAACAGGCCGGGCTGGGCTGACGACGCGCACCACTGACTTGGTGGGAATGGCAGGAACAGGCCGGGCCGGGCTGACGACGCGCAACACTGACTTGGTGGGAATGGCAGGAACAGGCCGGGCTGGGCTGACGACGCGCACCACTGACTTGGTGGGAATGGCAGGAACAGGCCGGACCGTACTGGGGACACACACCACTGGCCCCACGCAGGGATCAGGAACGGGCCGGACCGGACTGGTAACACACCCCAGTACCTCTCGCCGTGCCTCCACACTTTCCCTCTCCTCTGTGCCCAGTGGCCCCCCTAACCTGGCGGCCTTCTCTGCCAACGCTTTGCACCGCTCTAACCCGTACACCTGCTGGCCCGACGTCGTGAGCCCCCCCCTAAAAATTTCCTGGGGGTCTCTCCTCCCTCTTGCCAGACTCGCAATCATCTCCTCCCACGTCCATCCTCTCTCCTCGTCCCGCTGCTTGATCCAGTCGAGGTTGCCACGGAGATCTGCCAGCGATGGCTCCTGAACACGCTGCTTGGTCTGGTTAAGGTGGTTTCTTCTGTCAAGATCGTCTAATGGAGAGGACCAAGGCGCAGCGTTGCGGGTGAACATATTATATTTATTCAACTGATCACACGATCAAAACAAAGAACGAAACGTGAAGTCCTTCGATACACAACCAAAAGGAACAAGAAACCACAAAACACAAAGTGCAAGACAAACAGTTAAATATGGCTCCCAATCAGAGACACCCAGCTGACACTCATTGCCTCTGATTGGGAGTCACTCAGCCCAACATAGAAAATTAAACATAGACTTACACACCCTGGCTCAACATAACATAGTCCCCAGAGCCAGGGCGTGACACTGTAAATCTGTTTGAAAATCTATGGCAATACTTGAAAATGGTTGTCTAGCACTGATCAACAACCAATTTGACAGAGCTTGAAGAATTTTGAAAAGAATAATGGGCAAATATTGTTCAATCCAGGTGTGCATAGCTCTTAGAGACTTACCCAGAAAGACTCACATCTGTAATCACTCCCAAAGGTGATTCTAACATGTATTGACTCAGGGTTGTGAATACTTATGTAAATTATATATTTCTGTATTTCTATTTCAATAACTTTGCAAAAACATGTTTTCACTTTGTCATTATGGGGTGTTGTGTGTAGATGGGTAAGAAAAATAATAAATGTTATCCATTTTGAATTCAGGCTGTAACACAACAAAATGTGGAATAAGTCAAGGGGTATGAATACTTTCTAAAGGCACTGTAAATACCATAAGCCACACCTATCCTTGCACGCAGGCCAGTTACATCTATGCACGCTTAAGCGCATGCGCTCACACACCATTAGACAAAACAGAGAAACCAGATGTGCTCCAAACAAAGATAATTAAGAAATTGACTATTAAATAAACCTACGCTTCTTTATCACAAGTGTTTCGCGCAGTTGTTGAGCTCTCCACTACGAGAATGAGAATGGTAAATGAATGTAATATTATATTCAATGAGTTAACAGAAGTCACCGTAACCAAACATCCTAGATTACTGGGGAAATGCGGGGATAAACGGTAACTTCAATACTGAGTATATATTTAATCGGGAATTGATAAACAAAAGGCAAACCATTGACACAAAGAATGCACACTAATTTAATGTGTGCTTATATTTGTACAAGGGTGTATTAGAAATGTGTTTTTTGCATATCCCAACTCTCCCTGAGACACCGTCAGAGAGTGGAGTCACAACCAGGATCTGCTATTATCAACAGCAACCCTGGAGCAATTAGGCTTAAGTGCCTTGCTCAAAGGAATATCAACAGATTTTTCACCTTGTCGGCTCAGGGATTAGATCTAGCAACCTTTTGGTTACTGGCCCAACGCTCCAACCACTATGCTACCTGTCACCCATTTGCAAGAGTCAGTGCGCATTAGTGGAGAGACATGCCTAAACTAAGTTTCAACTCACATTCAGTTGATTCTGAGTTGTGACCAACTTTGTGATGCAAGGCGCAGCTGCAGCCTAATTTTAAGTTATCAAAAATGGCTGTGAATATCACAGTGGGCCTAGTCAGCTTAAAGTACATCTTAAAATGTAATGTGGTCAAGAACAAAACTGGGCCCTAATTAGAACACACGTCTGCCAGTGGCAGCTGATGATTTAAACACTATTATTTTTAAATATTTATTACAAGGATATGTATTGTTGTTTTTTAAAAATGTACGGAGGTCCATCCTCCCTTTCCCACCTGGAGAAACCCCCACTGATGCCTACTCAGACGGCATTTCCATTATGTTTGGTTTCCCTTTGTAAATCACAGTTACTTTGTTTAATGTTTTTTTTAGGAATCCCAGCCCCGATCTGGTCTACTCCAGTCCTCCATCATGACCATGTACACCATGTATCTGACCTGGTCTGCCATGACCAACGAGCCTGGTGAGAGCCACTGTTATACAAGCTGCTGCCCAACAGCACTGCCTCCCTGACTTGGTCATCTATGTTCATTATTCATTAATACCTAATGAATTCACAGTTCATTGTTCATATATCTAACCGTTTAAATGCAATCATATGAATAATTATTGGGAACAATCAAATAGCTTCTCAGTCAGACTAACATCCTTTGAAACATTTGCCCATAAATTGCAAACACATCGCCATTCTCCACGCTAATTGCAAATGTATTTGTTCAGCTCGAGTTACACTCAAAAGTCACCACCCCCTCCTAAAAAAGGAATGATATGATGATAATTATTAATATTCAAATATAAATGAAAGAAATAAGAATAAACAATATCTCTCAAATCTAAAAACTAAAATCCCTGTGGGGAAACCACCCCCGGACCCCCCTTAGACCGGACATGCAACCCCAGCCTGCTGAGCATCTTCCAGCAGACATTGGTGCCCACGTTGGCCCCTCTGGAGATTGAGAACCAGACGGCCGTGGTGATCGTCGGCACCGAGGAGCCCATCCTGTCCTCTCCCTATCTGCAGTGGTGGGACGCCCAGAGCATCGTGGGATTGTCCATCTTCGTCCTCTGCATCCTCTACTCCAGGTATGATTGGTCAGCAAGGCAGACCTTGGTACTGCTATAGCACATAGTGGTTTGGGAAATAGAAGTAATGTCAATTTGTTGTTGCTACACAGTATCAGTGGATTTGGTGACTGGTGACGCCCCCGTTCTTGGAATATGAATATCAGTTTGCCGTTTGAGCATTCTGAAAAGCGCTATATCAATGCAACCCATGATTGTGACTTGTTAATCTAATACCTGTGGTTATACTTCATTATAACTTTATTGAATAATTATACATGCTTATAAATATATACAAATGCTTATAAATGCTTTAGAAGTTATTATAAATGTTATAATTACTTATGAATTGTAATTCTTAAAATGCTTATAAATGCTCACTTCCTTGTAGCATCCGCTCGTCCAACACCAGCCAGGTGAACAAGTTGACCATGACCTCCAATGACACGGTGATCCTGGAGGAGAGTAACGCGGGCACACCGGACGAGGAGGTGGGAGGGACGGGGACGGGGACGGGGAGGAAGGGACCCAGGCGTTTGGAGGACAACGAGAGGGACACGGTCCAGTACAGCTATTCCTTCTTCCACTTCATGCTCTTCCTGGCTTCGCTCTACATCATGATGACTCTCACCAACTGGTATAGGTCAGTAAGGCCAAACTACACAGATTAACTACACAAACTACGTCATGAAGTGCTACGTTACTAGCTGTCAAGCCCTTGCTTCCTTCGTCCTTGTTTCCTTAATTCCCCTTGAGGATTTGTTCTTGACAGACCTTGGAGAGGATCCAAGGTCCCTCCCTCACGCATCCTTCTCCAATGAGCTTTGAAAGTAATTGAGGAAATAAGGTCAGAGGAAGCAAGGATTTGACAGTTAGTAACATTTTCAGACACAGCCATGGTGTCAATTTTGGTCATGCATATTTTGATTGAGGTGAAGTTGACTTCCTCTTCTGTACTCCCATTGTTGATATTATGTATGTCAAAAATGGAGAGGAACCACAACGTTCTGTCACTAAAGAGGAAATACCATTAATTGCACAACAACAAATGTAATATAAAAAAATATATATATATATCTTTTTCTGTGGGGCAACGAACACCAGATTAGTGACCAAACTACACAGATGTCCCTTTAGACCGGACATGTATAGGTCAGTATGGCCAAACTACACAGATGACCAACGTCATGGAGTGGAATGTCTGAAAACGTTACTAGCTGTCAAGCCCTTGCTTCCTTCGTCCTTGATTCCCCTTGAGGATTTATTCTTGACAGACCTTGGAGAGGATCCAAGGTTCCTGCCTCGGTCATACTCCTCCAATGAGCTTTGAAAGTAATTGAGGAAGCAAGGATTTGACAGTTAGTAACATTTTCAGACACAGCCATGGTGTCAAGTTTGGTCATGCACATTTTGATTGAGGTGAAGTTGACATCTTCTTTTGTACTCCCATTGTTGATATTATGTATTTCAAGGGGAACCACAACGTTCTGTCACTAAAGAGGAAATAACATATCAAATGTGTCTTTTATAGTTCAACATTTATATTTCAACTCTCTCACGCAACACGAGGCAGCTCTAGCTCTCTAACATGGAAGCGACCGCAAAGCAACACAGCAATGCTGCAACGCAATACTTCTACCATGGATATTTCTCTTACAGATTCACACCATAACAATTGTTCAGATATTAATATAGAAATCTAATTTTTTTCCTATATAGTCCTGATGCAGAATACAATGCCATGACCAGCAAGTGGCCGGCGGTTTGGGTGAAGATCAGCTCCAGTTGGGTGTGTCTCACCCTCTATGTCTGGACCCTGGTCGCCCCCATGATACTCATCAACCGGGACTTTAGCTGAAAAGGTTTCCGCTAACGCAGTATTCATCTTTCACTTTTCTTATCTTGATTCCTGATTTTGCTTAGTTTTTTACGTTTTACATAAACATTGACCTTATTGCCTACATATCACGTGATTTTCAGTCAAAATGGACTGTGTTTTTGTGTATTAGATGTTGATGGTTTTTCATAAAAATATCTCTTTAGTTAGCATTTTAGATCTATTAGAAGAGATAGATTCACACATGAACCTGGTGTTAAATCTCTAGCCTTGTGTTGGTACATTTGACATTTTGTGCAATTTGGGACCAAACACAGGGATAGTTGACCTTCATGTCAAAGGAACATCTTTCATTAAAAAAATATATAATTTATCTCATGAGTCAATATATGTCTATGGATGTTATATTCCTGCATTATGGGAAATGTAGGCTTAAGAATAGACTCAAACTACAATTCTGACCATTCCTGACCCTCTCCAAGGACCGTAAGTGGTAAGAGGAGAATAAAAAAATATTTTTTAAACAATGTTATATTTAGCCCACAAATATTTAGCACCTATAATCACATCTATCGACTATGTCACAATTATTGCTTGATATCTGAGTTGAATTGTTATTTTCAAAAGCATTTATTCCCTTTACTGTTATATTTATCTTTGTGTTTGAAGAAGTCGCTTAGTATGACATTTGGTGACATGATGTTCGGTAACTGTTTTGTTTGCACTTATACCCTCAAAGTTTTAAGTATTACAGATGCTTATTTAATCGTAGCCAACACTGTTCAGTAGTAATTGAGTTTGCATAGGTTTATCCTTACATTATTTGATATTGTAGTAAGCTGCTATGCCTTCCAATGCCTTACGTATCTGTAAATGTTTGTGTTTTTTGAATCGTTGAATTGAAAGCAACACGAAATAAGAGTGTAGCAATCAGTGTTTGTTGAAAAATATGTTTTTTTGAAAGCGATCCACAATCTACTTAAATTATTTATGCTTCTGCCAAATATTTGTGTCAGCTTTATAAAGTTTGTGTCTTGGAGATTGAATGTATGAATGTAATTGACTGAATCAATAGGCTGAAGCCATGCTTACTGAAGGAACTTAAGCATATTTTGAAATACATGTACAGGATCTACAACAAAAACCCATCGTAATTTTAAAAAATAAATGTAGGCCTATACAAGCCATCTACTTATGTTTTTGCAGTTTACGCTTTGCATTTAGGCCAATGGTTCAGTTCCAAATTGACAGACATTATGTCATATACACATACGACAATTAGAATGATGTCCTCAAGCTCAGTTATGACCACAAATACAAAGATATTGAAATATGTTGATGGCCTTGATTGGAGCATGATGGTTTATAGCGCAACACTGCCATTGTGATATTGATGAAAATGTATTATAAGTATTTAATTTCATTCTGGACCAAAACCTTCTGTAAGCTATAGTTGTGATGAGAGTCTGCTTGTGGAACATGCTTCAGTTCCCATTGAACCACAACTGTTTAGAAAGTCTTGGACGCTATGTACGATAAATAAAAATAAAGTTTATTACAAATGTTTGGTGCAACTGTGAGGTATATTTCTTGTTGTTTTAGCAGTATACTACATACTACCCTGTAGTCTATAACTGTCCAGCAACAAGAGAATTACGAGTAACTAACGAACGCTGACTGTAATTCTCTATTAACACAGCAGGGCATCATTTCAGCGATCAGGGCTCGTATTCATTAAGTACTGATCTAGGATCAGTTTAGCCTTTTAGATCATAATGTATAACACACGGGATCATCTGATCATAGATCAGCATACATACTCGCGTCAACATTTCCCATCTTTTGAGGATGAATAGAGCGAATGAAATAAACAAAACAAGGATAAGCACATCAAACTACTGAAAGTACAAAAATAACGACATAATGCTACAAACTTTAGCAGTGTTAAAAAGAAAAATGCTATTGCAACCTCTTTGCAATAAGGAATTGAGACCAAAATCTCAAGAGAAGTTTCAAGTGTTTAATACCAAGGATGCCATCAGTTGAGTGCATACATTTAGAAAGTTCACAACACATCTTATACTCCTCCCTCCTTTTGGTCACCACCCTCTTGTAGATGTCACCTCCCCAGCTATACATTTATGACCCCGATGAGTTTCCCTTCTCTCCCCTGTGGAATGTCCATGGTCGTCTCTTTGTTTAGCTAGATGTCAGAATCACAACCCGTCCATCTTCATTGTCATGGGCCTGACCCGGCAATTTCCTCTTATCTGATTAGGTCAACCTTTCCAAATTAGCATACACACAGTTTCATGGCCTAAACTCCATTAATACTCACAGTAATCATTCACTAAACAGGATACAAACAAACTACAGTTTAACTTGGAACATGTTACATTTTAACAGAATCCATCAGCGGTAATATCCTTCTATACAGTGAGGGAAAAAAGTATTTGATCCCCTGCTGATTTTGTACGTTTGTCCACTGACAAAGACATGATCAGTCTATAATTTTAATGGTAGGTTTATTTGAACAGTGAGAGACAGAATAACAACAAAAAAATCCAGAAAAATGTATGTCAAAAATGTTATAAATTGATTTACATTTTAATGAAGGAATAAGTATTTGACCCCTCTGCAAAACATGACTTAGTACTTGGTGGCAAAACCCTTGTTGGCAATCACAGAGGTCAGACGTTTCTTGTAGTTGGCCACCAGGTTTGCACACATCTCAGGAGGGATTTTGTCCCACTCCTCTTTGCAGATCTTCTCCAAGTCATTAAGGTATCGAGCCTGACATTTGGCAACTCGAACCTTCAGCTCCCTCCACAGATTTTCTATGGGATTAAGGTCTGGAGACTGGCTAGGCCACTCCAGGACCTTAATGTGCTTCTTCTTGAGCCACTCCTTTGTTGCCTTGGCCGTGTGTTTTGGGTCATTGTCATGCTGGAATACCCATCCACGACCCATTTTCAATTCCCTGGCTGAGGGAAGGAGGTTCTCACCCAAGATTTGACGGTACATGGCCCTGTCCATCGTCCCTTTGATGCGGTGAAGTTGTCCTGTCCCCTTAGCAGAAAAACACCCCCAAAGCATAATGTTTCCACCTCAATTTTTGACGGTGGGGATGGTGTTCTTGGGGTCATAGGCAGCATTCCTCCTCCTCCAAACACGGCGAGTTGAGTTGATGCCAAAGAGCTTGATTTTGGTCTCATCTGACCACAACACTTTCACCCAGTTCTCCTCTGAATCATTCAGATGTTCATTGGCAAACTTCAGACAGGCCTGTATATGTGCTTTCTTGAGCAGGGGGACCTTGCGGGCACTGCAGGATTTCAGGTTTCACGGCGTAGTGTGTTACCAATTGTTTTCTTGGTGACTATGGTCCCAGCTGCCTTGAGATCATTGACAAGATCCTCCTGTGTAGTTAATCGCACCAACTGTTGTCACCTTCTCACCAAGCTGCTTGGCGATGGTCTTGTAGCCCATTCCAGCCTTGTGTAGGTCTACAATCTTGTCCCTGACATCCTTGGAGAGCTCTTTGGTCTTGGCCATGGTGGAGAGTTTGGAATCTGATTGATTGATTGCTTCTGTGGACAGGTGTCTTTTATACAGGTAACAAGCTGAGATTAGGAGCACTCCCTTTAAGAGTGTGCTCCTAATCTCAGCTCGTTACCTGTATAAAAGACACCTGGGAGCCAGAAATCTTTCTGATTGAGAGGGGGTCAAATACTTATTTCCCTCATTAAAATGCAAATCAATTTATAACATTTGTGACATGCATTTTTCTGGAATTTTTTGTTGTTATTCTGTCTCTCACTGTTCAAATAAACCTACCATTAAAATTATAGACTGATCATTTCTTTGTCATAGGGCAAACGTACAAAATCAGCAGGGGATCAAATACATTTTTCCCTCACCTTTGGCTATGCTTAGTTCAAATTCTGGTTGTACAATTGATGTACAACGCATTTTCACAATGGTTGTGATACAACTGATGTTTTTGCAGTCATCACACAACTATTGTATCACAACCATTGTGTCACATGCTTTGTACAACCTGAGCGTGTCAGTTGTACAACTTGTGTATACACTAGGCCTATGGGCTGTGTCGGCACTCTCCGAGGGTGTCTCAGGAAAACATTTCAGATTCACACATTGGTATAATACACATTTGTACATGCGTGAAATAGGACAAATATCAGCAACCACCAAATTATTATTATTATGTGCCTATGATATCTGACAGTGTGAACACCCTCTCCTCCGGTTCCTTCTGGGCACTGTGGACCACTCGGCACCTGAACTCTGAGACATAGTCCTCCGTGGTGGGACTCAGTTTGAGGAAGCTCCACATACAGTACAGGCTGTTGACGTTCTGGCTGGGCGGTGAGTTGAAGACCTGGCCAGCAGGGACCTTCTGTCCGTCCTTAGACCAGCTGACCGACACTTGTTCGGGACGCAGAGGTTGAGCGTGCAATCCTCATCCGGCAGAGGGCGTAGTGGCTCACACTTGATGAACACCACATTCAGAGGGGTACCTGTTGAAGAAGACACAGGGGTCCCATTCATTAGGCACCAAATGGAAGATCATTTATAGAAACAGGGAGGGAGTAGCTGGACTTAATAAAAAATGCTATTTTTAATTTTAGGTTGCAAAACGTTTTGCTATGATAAGCCCTAAATTAACATAACATGATGATGCACATTACGTTTGCGCTAAAAAGTTATAAGAAGAAACTAACTTAAGACTATCTTGAATATCAGCTCCATCAGTTATATTTTGTCTCTGTTGATGCATTCTCATGAGCAACGTTATGAAAACCAAACATGTAGAATTCAATATACAGGATGAAAACTTGCCCACTAACTCGTATTTCATCTACACTCCATCCTTATGACAATTACCACCATGTAGCCAAGCTCTGATTGGCAGAATACATTTGTAAGATAAATGTAAGCAAGTAACTAAAACAGGGGTTTCAAACTGGCGTCCCGAGTGCCAGAATGTGGGCCCTGGGCCGAACGAGTTTGTGACCCGGAGCTAAAATGGCCATCATGTCTCTGATTATTTAGTTACCTTGTGTGTTGATATGATCAAGAACGTCTTAGTATACTGGCCCAGGGAAACTGGAGTGATACACGCGGCACGTGTAGACCGCCCTCTCGTCCTCCTGAGCCATGGTCAGCTCGACTTTACTCCACACGCTGTACACCTGCTCCCCATCGTTTCTCAACCACTCGAGATGGACTTTGTCCGGGTAGAACTTCTCGACCCAACAGCATAGCACCAGCAAATTCTCCACATTTGAGATCTGAGGGATGATGGAGATGTGAAAGAATGATGGATCCACTGGGGAAAGTGAAAAGAGTGTGTTAATTCAAAGTCAAAAGTGACACATTTCTAGATAATGGCACAGATTCAGTTGGCTGGACTTTGTTACCAATGTTGGTTGTGCTTTAAGAATGACAGTGTCTTCAATTCTACTCGATTGATGAGGAGCAATATGAATATTAATATGTCAACTCATTTATATTGCTCTCAAGGCCCACTTCAAGCCTGGACTACTAACTGACTTTGACCACAGAACAGTTCAGCATGACTGCACTGGTTCCATTACCTTAGCCCCCCACACCTCTCTGATTCAGAGGGGTTGGGTTAAATGCAGAAGACACATTTCAGATGAATGCATTCCGTTGTGCAACTGACTAGGTTTCCCCTTCCCCCTATACATGTTTATTATTATTCCATTCCATTATATCATTACCTTTTACACTCACAGTGGTCTCTCTGGTGATCTTCCTGCCTCTGTACAGGACAACACACTGGTACTTAGCTTGGTCCTCACTGACAGACAGGCATATGGACAGGGTGGTACATGCCTTCAGAGTGGATGTCAGCCTGGTCACTCAGGTCCTCGTGGCTCCATAACAGCACCATTGAGTGGCTGTTAGAGACTGCAGAACAGTCCCTATTGGCTGTTTTCTTGTACCATTTCACATACTCTTTTACATCGGTAGTCACCATGCTGCAAAGTGTGCAGGCTTTTGTTTCACCCCAGCACAAACTAACCTGAACCTACTACTAATCACTTCTTGGATGTAAACGTACCTGTGTGAAAATACCTGTAGAGGACCAATACACCACCAATGACAGAGAAGAACAATATTAACACTGGTAACTGCCACCAGTGTTACAACATTGGTTCTTTTGGAGCTGATGAGAGAGAGAGAGGAGTTATAAGCTTATTGAAGTGTTTCATTCCAAAACGCTATATTTAGCTTTTTTTTGTTTAAAGAACTTATGAAAGAGTTGAATGACAGACATACATTTGTCTGAAACTTATCACTATATGGTTTCATTTCAGAGTGACAAACAATCAAATTTTGTGGCAAAACGAGATACAGTGGGGAGAACAAGTATTTTGATACACTGCCGATTTTGCAGGTTTTCCTACTTACAAAGCATGTAGAGGTCTGTAATATTTATCATAGGTACACTTCAACTGTGAGAGACGGAATCTAAAACAAAAATCCAGAAAATCACATTGTATGATTTTTAAGTAATTAATTTGCATTTTATTGCATGACATAAGTACTTGATCACCTACCAACCAGTAAGAATTCCGGCTCTCACAGACCTGTTAGTTTTTCTTTAAGAAGCCCTCCTGTTCTCCACTCGTTACCTGTATAAAAGACACCTGTCCACACACTCAATCAAACAGACTCCAACCTCTCCACAATGGCCAAGACCAGAGAGCTGTGTAAGGACATCAGGGATAAAATTGTAGACCTGCACAAGGCTGGGATGGGCTACAGGACAATAGGCAAGCAGCTTGGTGAGAAGACAACAACTGTTGGCGCAATTATTAGAAAATGGAAGAAGTTCAAGATGACGGTCAATCACCCTCGGTCTGGGGCTCCATGCAAGATCTCACCTCGTCACCTCATCAATGATCATGAGGAAGGTGAGGGATCAGCCCATAACTACACGGCAGGACCTGGTCAATAACCTGAAGAGAGCTGGGACCACAGTCTCAAAGAAAACCATTAGTAACACACTACGCCGTCATGGATTAAAATCCTGCAGCGCACGCAAGGTCCCCCTGCTCAAGCCAGCGCATGTCCAGGCCCGTCTGAAGTTTGCCAATGACCATCTGGATGATCCAGAGGAGGAATGGGAGAAGGTCATGTGGTCTGATGAGACAAAAATAGAGCTTTTTGGTCTAAACTCCACTCGCCGTGTTTGGAGGAAGAAGAAGGATGAGTACAACCCCAAGAACACCATCCCAACCGTGAAGCATGGAGGTGGAAACATCATTCTTTGGGGATGCTTTTCTGCAAAGGGGACAGGACGACTGCACCGTATTGAGGGGAGGATGGATGGGGCCGTGTATTGCGAGATCTTGGCCAACAACCTCCTTCCCTCAGTAAGAGCATTGAAGATGGGTCGTGGCTGGGTCTTCCAGCATGACAATGACCCGAAACACACAGCCAGGGCAACTAAGTTGTGGCTCCGTAAGAAGCATCTCAAGGTCCTGGAGTGGCCTAGCCAGTCTCCAGACCTGAACCCAATAGAAAATCTTTGGAGGGAGCTGAAAGTCCGTATTGACCAGCGACAGTCCTGAAACCTGAAGGATCTGGAGAGGTCTGTATGGAGGAGTGGGCCAAAATCCCTGCTGCAGTGTGTGCAAACCTGGTCAAAACCTACAGGAAACGTATGATCTCTGTAATTGCAAACAAAGTTTTCTGTACCAAATATTAAGTTCTGCTTTTCTGATGTATCAAATACTTATGTCATGCAATAAAATGCAAATTAATTACTTAAAAATCATACAATGTGATTTTCTGGATCGGCAGTGTATCAAATACTTGTTCTCCCCACTGTATATCCACCTCACTTTCATAGAAAAAAGTAGCATTGCAAGGTTTTACACAGTCAAATGTGACAAATAATTACATTTTTTATAAAGAACTGTACAAATTATACATTTGTGACATCGATATTTAGAAAAATATTTTTTAAATGATCAATACAGTAATATGAGATCTGGGCTCTGGTCAAAATTGGTGAACTATGGAGAATAGGGTTTAATTTGGGATGAGACCTAACTCTAACCAAACACTATAGCATGAGGCTAGACTCATACAAACATTCCATTCTAGCTAAACAATGGATACAGTGGGAAAAAAAAGTATTTAGTCAGCCACCCATTGTGCATGTTCTCCCACTTAAAAAGATGAGAGAGGCCTGTAATTTTCATCATAGGTACACGTCAACTATGACAGACAAAATCAGAAAAGAAATTCCAGAAAATCACATTGTAGGATTTTTAATGAATTTATTTGCAAATTATGGTGGAAAATAAGTATTTGGTCAATAACAAAAGTTTCTCAATACTTTGTTATATACCCTTTGTTGGCAATGACACAGGTCAAACGTTTTCTGTAAGTCTTCACAAGGTTTTCACACACTGTTGCTGGTATTTTGGCCCATTCCTCCATGCAGATCTCCTCTAGAGCAGTGATGTTTTGGGGCTGTCGCTGGGCAACACGGACTTTCAACTCCCCCCAAAGATTTTCTATGGGGTTGAGATCTGGAGACTGGCTAGGCCACTCCAGGACCTTGAAATGCTTCTTACGAAGCCACTCCTTCGTTGCCCGGGCGGTGTGTTTGGGATCATTGTCATGCTGAAAGACCCAGCCACGTTTCATCTTCAATGCCCTTGCTGATGGAAGGAGGTTTTCACTCAAAATCTCACGATACATGGCCCCATTCATTCTTTCCTTTACACGGATCAGTCGTCCTGGTCTCTTTGCAGAAAAACAGCCCCAAAGCATGATGTTTCCACCCCCATGCTTCACAGTAGGTATGGTGTTCTTTGGATGCAACTCAGCATTCTTTGTCCTCCAAACACGACGAGTTGAGTTTTTACCAAAAAGTTCTATTTTGGTTTCATCTGACCATATGACATTCTCCCAATCCTCTTCTGGATCATCCAAATGCACTCTAGCAAACTTCAGACGGGCCTGGCGTAAGCAGGGGGACACGTCTGGCACTGCAGGATTTAAGTCCCTGGCGGCGTAGTGTGTTACTGATGGTAGGCTTTGTTACTTTGGTCCCAGCTCTCTGCAGGTCATTCACTAGGTCCCCCCGTGTGGTTCTGGGATTTTTGCTCACCGTTCTTGTGATCATTTTGACCCCACGGGGTGAGATCTTGCGTGGAGCCCCAGATCGAGGTAGATTATCAGTGGTCTTGTATGTCTTCCATTTCCTAATAATTGCTCCCACAGTTGATTTCTTCAAACCAAGCTGCTTACCTATTGCAGATTCAGTCTTCCCAGCCTGGTGCAGGTCTACAAACGTGTTTCTGGTGTCCTTTGACAGCTCTTTGGTCTTGGCCATAGTGGAGTTTGGAGTGTGACTGTTTGAGGTTGTGGACAGGTGTCTTTTATACTGATAACAAGTTCAAACAGGTGCCATTAATACAGGTAACGAGTGGAGGACAGAGGAGCCTCTTAAAGAAGAAGTTACAGGTCTGTGAGAGCCAGAAATCTTGCTTGTTTGTAGGTGACCAAATACTTATTTTCCACCATAATTTGCAAATAAATTCATAAAAAATCCTACAATGTGATTTTCTGGATTTTTTTTTCTCAATTTGTCTGTCATAGTTGACGTGTACCTATGATGAAAATTACAGGCCTCTCTCATCTTTTTAAGTGGGAGAACTTGCACAATTGGTGGCTGACTAAATACTTTTTTTCCCCACTGTATATAGCGTTTTGCAACAAACCAATTGTAATACTCATCTAAAATCTATTACTAAAAAATCTGCGGACATTCATATTTTACACACACAGAAAGGTACCCATAAGCAAGCATTAATTTCTGATGAAAAAACACAAATATGAAAGAATTGTGGATATATAGCATTTTGGAAATAAACTCTTCATATGTTGATTACCTGACGAAATGCACTATTTGTCATTAATCCCAGAATAAAGCTCATAGGAGAGTGGTGTGTTGGCTTCCCATCTTACACGGTCAACAATACACTTTTGCTGTAGTTCCCATAGGGTAGGACCTGTGTGTGATGTGAGAGGTGTACAGTGCATTCGGAAAGTATTCAGACCCCTTGACTCTTTCCACATTTTGTTACGTTACAGCCTTATTCTAAAATGGATTAAAGAAAAACACTTCTTCATCAATCTACACACAATACCCCATAATGACAAAGCAGAAACATTTAGACATTTTTGCAAATGTATTACAAATAAAAAACAGAAATGACTTAAGTATTCAGACCCTTTTTTATGAGACACAAAATTGTGCTCAGGTGCATCCTGTTTCCATTGATCATCCTTGAGATGTTTCTACAACTTGATTGGAGTCCACCTGTGGTAAATTCAATTGATTGGATATAATTTGGAAAGGCACACACCTGTCTATATAAGGTCCCACAGTTAAAAGGCTCATGACAGCCCGCTTGGAGTTTGCCAAAAAGCACCTAAAGGACGCTCAGACCATGAGAAACAAGATTCTCTGGTCTGATAAAACTAAGATTGAACTATTTGGCCTGAATGCCAAGGGTCACGTCTGGAGAAAACCTGGCACCATCCCTACGGTGAATCATGGTGGTGGCAGCATTATGCTGTGGGGATGTTTTTCAGCGGCAGGGACTGGGAGACTAGTCAGGATCAAGGGAAAGATGAACGGAGCAAAGTACAGAGAGATCCTTGACCTGCTCCAGAGCGCTCAGGACCTCAGACAGGGGCGAAGGTTCACCTTCCAACAGGACAACGACTCTAAGCACACAGCCAAGACAATGCAGGAGTGGCTTTGGGACAAGTCTCTGAATGTCCTTGAGTGGCCCAGCCAGAGCCCGGACTTGAACCCGATCTAACATCTCTGGAGAGACCTGATAATAGCTGTGCAGCGACGCTCCCCATCCAAGAGCTTGAGAGGATCTGCAGAGAAGAATGGGAGAAACCCCCCAAATACAGGTGTGCCAAGCTTGTAGCGTCATACCCTAGAAGACTCGAGGCTGTAATTGGTGCCAAAGGTGCTTCAACAATTACTGAGTAAAGGGTCTGAATACTTATGTAAATGTGATCTTTTTTTAATTTATTTTTTATACATTTGCTAACATTTCTAAAAACCAGTTTTTGCTTTGTCATTATGGGGTATTGTGTATAGATTGATGAGGGGGGGAAAAAACTATTTAATCCATTTTAGAATAAGGCTGTCATGTAACGAAATGTGGAAAAAGTAAAGGGTTCTGAATACTTTCCGAATGCACTGTCAATGGCTCCTCCGCTCCCTGGGGAGCCTGGACATTGATTTGACTGCTCACACTGTAGATGCCGTCTGGATTGGACACAGCCATTCTGGTACACATGTATTGTGAGAGGGCCCTGCGGGCTATGCTCCCGGGAGCCATTTTGGATCAACCCGGTCACTGCCAGCTTCTCTAGGTAGAATCCTGTGATGTCACACATTAACGTCCCCCCGTCCCCCCACCCAATTAACGTGGCAGTCTCTGAGAGGGACATTGAGGATCTGGCTGTAGGGAAAAGATGGAGAAAATACTCAATTTATTTCACTCACTTACCATTTTCAAACTACTGAGCCGAGCCGAGCTGAGCTGAGCTGGTCTAGCGTGGTTGTGCATTCGACATAGCTGCTGGAACAGTGCTGGAAAGGATCATGTGAAAATGAGAAACACAGTATGGTTCAGCCCTATGGTGTAAATCAGGCAACTGTGAATGTAAGATAAAGCCTTACCTAAACAACTTTTTGTATATGCAAGACACACTAATTAGGATAATACTGTAGGCCTATTCTGAGCAATTCCACTTACTCTCACAGCAATATCAATAGCATTGCAGAGGTGTATAGAGGTGCTATTTGTCACTGGTCCAAATTATTAATGGTCATCAAATGTACAAAAGAACGGGCAAACACAGCTTGTCAGACAGCACCTGACACTTCCAGCTGAGAGGAGAATTTGCACGTGTTGGGATCGATGATCACTCTGCAGTGGTAGAGTCCCTCGTCAGCCACAGTCACATTCAACAGATGAAGGGAGGCATTGCCCTGAAGCAACCCCATTTGGTCCACCTGAGAACCTTCACCATGAACCTTAGCAGTCTCATTCTGGAATGTATACACCAGGCACTTTATGGTGTCTTTATCCACCATGATCCCCCACTCAACTGTGATCTTCTTCAGCAGTACATGGTCCAGCTTGATAAAAGGACAGTATAGGGTAACGTCAGTGCCAGCTAAGATGGTTAACTTCTTTGTAGGCTCTGCCATTGCACCTACAAAGTCCAAAACACAAACCACTTTGGGTTATATCTTTCTGCATTGGAATGATAGTTTGGGATGGAGTTTAAGTGCCTTGCTGCAGTATTTGAAAAGTGACCTCTCTATTTTGCACGTGAGACTGCAGCATGTATCTTGCAGGTATTTTAAGATATCCCCATAAAAAAAACATGCAAAGCATAAACAGCTACTGTAGGATGTCTTCGCATACATTTAGTAATACAACAATAATAAAAACTGAAAACTGAACTTGTTTCGTAGCCAAGACAAGTACTGTTGTTTGCTTTTAGGGCTGACTGACCTTTGTCCCAATACTTCTAAGAAAACCCTGGTGAAAATACAAAGACAATCAAAATACTGAGTGTTTTTCCTCTGTACCTTTACAATCCAAAAGGATGAGCATAATTGTGATGACATTGTTAATATCCCAGCTGCTATTCATTGGGATTCACCTTTGGTTGGGATTTTTACCGTGGCAGGACTGGAGAGAAATTCTGAAAGTAAACATTTACATGCCTATCTCAGTCATGTGATTTCCCAGCTCCAATTGAAACAGGAAAGCTCATCAAATATCCCAAGTAAGGCCTTCCTTACATAACAGTAAATATGATTGTGGGCCATCAAAAAGGCACAATAGAAATGGGATTGAGAAATCATTGCCTGCGGGCACATCGTGTGGGGCAGAATGAAGAACCCCATTCTAGATTCTCATCACATTGAATTAACCAGTTTGCAACGCCAGGGTTGTGGGTTCAATTCCCACGGGGGGCCAGTATAAAAAATTTAAAATAAATTTAAAAAATGTATGCACTCACTAACTGTAAGTCGCTCTGGATAAGAGCGTCTGCTAAATGACTAAAATGTAAAGTGGTCCTCTGTAGCTCAGTTGGTAGAGCATAGAGCTTGCAACACCAGAATAGTGGATTCGATTCCGGGGACCACCCATACTTAGAATGCATGACTGTGAGTCACTTCGGATGAAAGCGTCTGCTAAATAGCGTATATTATTATGTTAAGAAAAAAGACAAACCAATAAAGCCAAAGGTGTTTTATTTCAAAAACAAATATTTGTAGTAACATTGTCACACCGACAGCCTCTCCACTATCTATGCCTATATGCTTCCATCTAAATATCAAATAGAACATTTAACAAATCAGTGCCAAACGGGCCATGTCCTTGTAAATGCATTGTCACAAACGATCTCATAGGTTCCCTTTAACCAACCATCGACCTCTTTCTCCCTCTCAACCGAACTTCGTCAAGTTTTTTGATAACGGCGTGGGACTTCTTGGACGAGGCTGCGTAGGCCTTCAGCAGCTTCTCGAATAGAACATCTGTGTTGGGGTGGGTGCTCAGGAAAGCTTTCTCCAGCACGTACATGTCCACTCCCTTGTCCTCGGGCAAGGCCGATATGTAGCTCAGGCCAAAGTCAATGAGGACCAGCTCCGTCTCGCCACTCTGAGCGCCAGCCTTCAGCAGCATGTTGGACGTGGTCAAGTCTCCATGGACGACATCCTCGTCATGCATTTTGGCCAGAATCTGACCCATCTTCTTAGCGAGCTGGTCCAGACGTTCCTCTGGGCTTTTCTGGGTGGAGGAGAGCTGCGTGGAGGCGATGTGGTCTCTGACGGTGATGGAGCCCACAATGTCTTCAAAAAAGATGCAGTGGGAGGTGTAGTCTACAAAGTAGATGACTGGTGCAGATATGCCTAGAGGGAGAGAGATAGAGAAATATTAGACACTAATAAAGCTCAGGGGTAGGTGCAGCTCTGCAACTTCGATTAATTTCATGATTTGAAACCATGATTAGAACCCCAGCAGTCACTCACCAGCTTTTCGACAGCGAAGTATTGAGCGCACCTCTTGCACGGTTCTGCGATGTGTGAGTTTTTCATCCAGCAGCGGGTGCCTATACAATTTAGGAAACCTTTCTTTAACAATGGTCGGCCTGCCCAAAAACGGCCCCCGATATACACGAGCTTCTGCACCCTGTTTTATCAGTTCTATTTTCTTTAGAAACTGCAGGAGGGCCACGCTGTTCGCCTCAACAGCCATGTCAACAAATCGCAGCTTTTTTCCTCTTGCAGACAGGTGCCACAATTGCATGTATTTAAAAGTGCTGCCACCCTGAGTTTCGGCGTAAAACTGACAGGGATAATATTTCGAAATTTAAGAACACTGGAGATTCAGCCAGGTCACAGATGTTATCACTATCACATCTGTAGGAATAATTCACAACGGCAAATTATATCCTACTGCGAGGTTTATTATTTATTTTGTAAAATAACTATCACACATTACGTTTTTCCATACGTGTTGTCATTCATATGGGCTTAATCGATTTATGAGTCAAATGTATTGCTAGGCCTATGGTATGGGCCTACTATTTTCCCACGATAGTTTCACTAAGTGAAGCATGGGGAAAGTTTCATTTAGAATTCGAATTCCTTGGAATTTTTTTGAAATGTTGTCGAGATGTCGGCCCCTGGTGTCAAAAGTTTGAAAAGGAGTCTTGCAATTTGAGACTTGAAATTTGAGACGCTTTTCTCTGCCACGTAGCTTCAACTTCCTGATGTAAAGTCATACATTGTGTTGTTCCGAATTTAACCAAATGCATCTTCACCAGAAACATTGTAACAACATGGTAAGCAAATATACTGCTTCTCGAAAAAAAAATGACAAAAGCGTCTTAGTCATTGCCTTACATAAATGAGTGCACTCGAGCGCGTTCTCTGCAGTCACACGTTTAACGGGATACTTGCCTTTGAGAGTCTATTCTCCGGATGGAAAATCTTAAACTTTGTTGAACTCGTAGTTTCTTCTTTGATTTAAACTTTCACGCAATGTTGGTAAGGGTAGTGTATGTAAGCTACTGTCTAGCCTGTCTCTGTGCTTTAGCCTATTAATATGCGAACATTGAATAACGGTATTCCATAGTCGTTTTTTGCCTACCGTCCATAAATGTACAATCAAGCAAGAATCAATTTTACACTTCTGATATGATAAAGATAAAAACATACTGGTGTTTTAGTGATAAGCGCGTCAATAATGGCAACATGCAAAATAGTGGGAATATCATATGTGTTTTGTACCTTCAATGTATTTCTTATTTTCCATATAGCCGATTAGTATGAACCATAGGCCTATGTTTGTTTTGAGCATGCAAGAAAACTGTGTGGTGTTTGAATGGTGACAGAGTAGAATATAATGGAATGGAATGGAATATAATATTATTATACTGTACATGAAATAGAATAGATGGAATATAATAGATTAAAATGCCTTGTAATCAATGTATTACCATTATTCTAATTGAAACAACGCTGCTGCAGTATTTTGAAAATACATTAAATTAAATTCGTTAAATTCATCAATGCAGTGTCATGTTTCCTCTGCAGCCTATTTGCAAGGAATATTCAATTTGCTACCAATGCATAAGGTGCTTTTTCCAAACAGAGAAAAGGAGCAATGATTAACCGCCAGAGTGCATTTTGTTGAGGCAATCTCAAGTGGTCTTGTCTAATGAAATCAGCGGCATCAACAGGGGAGTTGTCATGACTACAGAGCTGTGCCGCCTCTTTTGCGCTCCGTGTCTTATTCATGAGCCGCAGGACGTCGCCTTTTGGGAGCGCGAGCTCATAAGCGTTTTATTTCTCAATTTATAAACATAATTTTTTATGTTTCATGGATTCTTTTTGCTTCTGTTTTAGAGTCGAGAAATGTCAACATGGACTGAGCCTTGCTTCAATTGAAGTGTATTTTTAGTTGAAGGAATATCAACTCAATATTATGGGTAAGTTATTTTGATTATTTCAACCTAATTATCTTACAACATCAAGGCAAGCTGTTATGAAATTACACAAAATAACGTATGGGACCACTAATTGTAAATTATAGGTGAAATATTAGCACATTGACCCTATGGGAACTAAAACCAAATTACCCATTTTTCCCCCGATGTATTTTGATCATTCTACTGTCCAGCTCCTGTTATTTCATTGGATGTGCGTAAAACCCAATGATGTATATATAAATCATTGGTAAAACCCCTTCATGGAGTAAAACCATGTGGCATAGAAAATACATAAAACAATTTTTGCCTAAATAGACAACCACTAACAACTCAAAAATATTGTTGATGTACAGTAGGCCTAACAGTACATGTATGCAATACTTATGCATATGCAGAGCTGTAAAAAAAAAAAAAAAAAAAAAAACAGCATCATTGAAGATGCTTTGTAGGGTTTGCAACCATTATCCTGGAGTTTTGCTAGATTAATCAGAAATAGATATTGCATATACAACATATACACCTGGACATGAAGAATATAATAAATGATGAATGTCCTTTCTCCAAACATGAACATACATTTGAATAGTTCATGTTTCTTCAATGGGACACAGAATATGTATGATAAGCCCATTTTTTTTAGCTGCTTTACTAAATTTCCTCCATATAGTCACACATAATATAAAAATAGACACAAATTATTACATAGTGTTGCACCCTGTTATTTTTACCTTCTGTGGAAACCATTATCAATTGTATCACATCATCCAAGGATCATTCAAATGTTAACGAAATGATTCCAAACTCACATAATGAATTTTATACTCATATAATCCAAACCTCTATCTTCTTCCCTAGGTTGCTCCACCCTGGCCCTCTCCAGTGTGGTGTCCACGCTTGGTGGCCTGGTCTTTGGCTACGAGCTGGGGATTATCTCCGGGGCTCTCCTCCAGCTCCAGGCCGAGTTCCGGCTGACTTGTGTCCAGCAGGAGGCTGTGGTCAGTGCCCTTCTGATCGGGGCCTTACTGGCCTCCCTGGTCGGTGGGTGGCTGATCGACCGCTATGGCCGAAGGAACTCCATCCTCCTCAGCAACGTCCTCATCCTGGCCGGGAGTTTGGTTCTGGTCAGCAACTCTTACTTGGCACTGGTGGTGGGCAGAATCACGGTGGGCTTCGCCATGTGCATCTCCTCCATGGCCTGCTGTATCTTCGTGTCGGAGATGGTCACTCCCAAGCACAGGGGTTTTTTGGTGACTCTGTATGAAGTTGGTATCACCGTGGGCATCCTGGGAGCTTACGCCATAAACTATATCCTGTCCGATGCCAGGCAGGGATGGAAGTATATGTTTGCGTTAGCCATCGTGCCTACTTTGGCTCAGTTTGTCTCCATTTGGTTCCTCCCGTCCAGTGCCGGAGCACCTGCTGCAGGCGCTCAAAGCCAAAGAGGCCTTATTCACTCCATTGAGAATCACAAAGTGGAGAATTCGGCACATGTTTCCAACAGACTCGATAAACCACAGTACAGCTTTCTGAACCTCTTTCAACAGAAGGACAACATGAGGACCAGGACTATCATTGCCCTGGGCTTGGTGATCTTTCAACAGTTCACAGGTCAGCCCAATGTGCTCTTCTACTCCTCAACCATCTTTAATTCAGTGGGCTTCGAGAGCAACGCCTCGGCATTGCTGGCGTCCTTGGGCTTGGGGGTAGTCAAGGTGATCGCCACCTTGGTCTCCATGGTGTTTGCCGATAGGGTTGGCAGGAGGCCTCTGCTCATTGGTGGATGTATGGTAATGTCCGTGTGTTTGATCACCATAGGACTTTTGAGCGGGCGTTCAGTGGTCAACACCAAGACACCCTGTAGTGCTGGGGATTATGTCAAAAACAGCACACCCCTAACACAGCTAACGCTGGACAATCAATCAAGCTTTGACATTTCTGTCAGTCAACGCCATGGACGTCACGATTGGACCGAAGTAAGGGATATTGCGTACGATGATGTGATATCCTTAGGTACGTTGATGCCAGTGCCTTCTCCAGCTGTCCACAATGGAGTGGTGAACTGGATCATTTTACTCTGTATGATGGCAGTCGTCAGTGCATACTCAGTTGGATTTGGACCAAGTAAGTACTTTCTCCTGGGATGATTCATAATTATCGTATTTCTGGCAAATTATTGAAATGTGGGGCCACAAGATTATTGTTAAGGTTAGCTAGAACTTGCTTTTGACAATCATATGGCGTTGTCTTGTGAATGACTAGAGATGAATGTTTGTGAATTTTCTGTTGCATAGTGACCTGGCTCATTTTGAGTGAAATATTCCCTGCTGCGGTCAGAGGGAGAGCGTTTGCCTTCACTAACTGCTTCAACTGGGCTGCCAACTTAATTGTCACATTCTCCTTCTTGAATGTCATCAGTAAGCATCTACCTCTATGAATTCACATTCAATCAAGTCTGGTTTGTTACAGTGCATTCTGAAAGTATTCAGACCCCTTGACTTTTTGTTACAGCCTTATTCTAAAATTGATTAAATAAAAATGTTTCCTCATCAATCTACACACAATACCCCATAATGGCAAAGCGAAAACAGGTTTATAGAAATTGTTGCACATTCATTTACATAAGTATTCAGACCCTTTGCTATGAGACTTGAAATTGAGCTCAGGTGCATCCTGTTTCCATTGATCATTCTTGAGATGTTTCTACAATTTGATTGGAGTCCACCTGTGGTAAATTCAATTGATTGGACATGATTTGGAAAGGCACTCACCTGTCTATATAAGGTCCCGCTGTAAGCATTTCACTGTAAGGTCTACACCTGTTGTATTCGGCGCATGTGACAAATACAATTTGATTTGAAATAATTTGATTTGACAGTGCATGTCAGAGCAAAAACCAAGCCATGAGGTCGAAGGAATTGTCCATAGAGCTCCGAGACAGGATTGTGTCGAGCACAGATCTGGGGAAGGGTACCAAAAAACTTCTGCGGCATTGAAGGTTCGCAAGAAGACAGTGGCCTCTATCATTCTTAAATGGAAGAAGTTTGGAATCACCAAGACTCTTCCTAGAGCTGGTCGCCCGGCCAAACTGAGAAAGCGGAGGAGTTCCTCTGTGGAGATGGGAGAACCTACCCGAAGGACAACCATCTCTGCAGCACCCCACCAATCAGGACTTTATGGTAGAGTGGCCAGACAGAAGCCACTCCTCAGTAAAAGGCACATGACAGCCCGCTTGGAGTTTGCCAAAAGGCACCTAACGGACTCTCAGACCATGAGTAACAAGATTCTCTGGTCTGATGAAACCAAAATTGAACTCTTTGGCCTGAATGCCAAGTGTCACATCTGGAGGAAACCTGGCACCATCCCTACGGTGAAGCATGGTGGTGGCAGCATAATGCTGTGGGGATGTTTTTCAGCGGCAGGGACTGGGAGACTAGTCAGGATCGAGGGAAAGATGAACGAAGCAAAGTACAGAGAGATCCTTGATGAAAACCTGCTCCAGAGCGCTCAAGACCTCAAACTGGGGCGAAGGTTCACCTTCCAACAGGACAACGACCCTAAGCACACAGCCAAGACAACACAAGAGTGGCTTCGGGACAAGTCTCTGAATGTCCTTGAGTGGCCCAGCCAGAGCCCAGACGTGAACCCGATCGAACATCTCTGGAGAGACCTGAAAATAGCTGTGCAGCAACGCTCCCCATCCAACCTGACAGAGCTTGATAGGATCTGCAGAGAAGAATGGGAGAAACTCCCCAAATACAGGTGTGCCAAGCTTGTAGCATCATACCTAAGAAGGCTCGAGGCTGTAATCGCTGCCAAAGGTGCTTCAACAAAGTACTGAGTAAAGGGTCTGAATACTTATGTAAGTGTGATATTTCCGTTTTTTTCTTTTGAATACATTTGCAACTTTCTAAAAAACCGTTTTTGCTTTGTCATTATGAGGTATTGTGTGTAGATTGATGAGAAAAAAACAAAACAATTTAATCCATTTTAGAATAAGGCTGTAACGTAACAAAATGTGGAAAAAGTCAAGGGGTCTGAATACTTCCCAAATGCACTGTATGTGTTGGTAGTACGAGCATGGGAAGATGTATCAGACAGGAACTGGTTTAGTCTTCAAAGATTGAACTATACTCCTTCAATGGCACTCAACCTAGAATGTAGTGCAGTATCTTTAGATACAAATAATCTACCTGGCAATTAAGTTGATTATGTTTCGTCACCAGATGTGATTGGTTTGTCTGGAACATTCCTTTCGTATGGGCTGATTGGAGTGGGAGCGGTGGTGTTCTTCTACTTCATGTTACCAGAGACCAAAGGGAAATCACTGGAGCAAATAGACAGGGAGCTCTGTTTGAAAAGGTACATCTTAAACTCCAGTCTATTATTATGCAGTACAAATAGAAATGTTATTTTCAACGTGATCTGAAATGCAGTTAGATCTAGGAACTTATCTGCTTCTTCTTTTGTAGGGTACACAACAGTGAAGAATGCTGCAACATCCTTAGCAGGAGAATCGACTCCCCCGGGTATCAAAGAGTGCACATTGTTAGCTCAGCAACCCAATGTTGAGTAAATCTATCCAAGTGTTATATTCTAAGCAGTGGTGTACAATACTTTAAAGGACTACTTAAGTATTTTTTTGGGGTATCTGTACTTTACTATTTATATTTTTGACAACTTTTACTTCACTACATTCCTAAAGAAAATAATGTACTTTTTACTCCATACATTTTACCTGACACCCAAAAGTACTCGTTACATTTTCAATGCTTAGCAGGACAGGAAAATGGTCAATTCACACACTTATCAAGACAACACATGATCATCCCTTCTGCCTCTGATCTGGTGGACTCACTAAACACAAATGCATCTTTTGTAAATTATGTCTGAGTGTTGGAGTGTGCCCCTGGCTAGCCATACATTTTAAAAACAAGACATTTGTTATTTTACCTTTATTTAACTAGGCAAGTCAGTTAAGAACAAATTCTTATTTACAATGACGGCCTACACCGGCCAAACCCGGATGACGCTGGGCCAATTGTGCGCCATCCTATGGGATAGAATAGAATATGGGATAGAATAGGATAGAAGGAATTTGAAATGATTTATACTTTTACTTTTGATACTTAAGTATATTTTAGTAATTACATTTACTTTTGACACTTAAGTATATTTAGAACCAAATACTTTTAGACTTTTACTCAAGTAGTATTTTACTGGGAGACTTTTACTTGAGTAACTTTCTATTAATGTATCTAGTATTCTAAGTATATTTAGAAGGGATGGGGTAATTTTTTACACTCTTGCAATCTGATTGAAACAACAGACTGATGCTAATGTCGGTATTGAAAAGTTTAGCATAGTAATCCTCCAGTTACCATAGCAGAGCTTATGACATGACTGAACAATGCTTTTATTGCACTGGTATTTAAAACTTATTGTTCGGATGCTTGTGGACAATTCTGTCACTTGTTTTCGCAAATGAAAATTGCAATAAAACACTCTGCCTTTCTATTACCTTTCAATAGACTGCAAGAAAAACAGCAGTTTTCCATTTCCATCAAGTCAACATACACGGGGGTCATCATCATCAGTTTAGGAGCCTGAGATCGCGGATCTACTGAGGGAGTCTTGCTCTACACTATGACAATGTCATCCTATCCTGTTTTGTTCTGTGTAATACGTATAACCCAAGTATGCCTAGTCAGCTTGGTCTACTGTGTAGCCTAGCCTACCATGTTTATGTTTGTTAAATTTTTAACCATTTAGGACCACAATGGAAATATGTTTTCAAACTTGTGTCATCCTCAAAGATTTTAAATGCATTATCCACGTGTGGTTGTATTGTTTGAAATGGTCAAATAAATATGTAACCTCGGCTCCATGGCCGCTTGGGGCTCCTTAACTGCCCCTTTATGATGCAATTGGTGATCTAATCTAATTAGTCATTCAAAGTCATTAGTCTTTCACGTTCACTAGAATTCATCAAACGGCACTCTGCCAGATTATGAAGCTCTAAAACAGTAGTCTAATTAAACATGTATCACCACTGTCACAATTCATTTCAAAACATAGCAAAACATGTAAGTGACCTCTCAAAAGATACTATAAGGAAAGTAATGTTTGTAAAACCTTACAATCAGGAGACATTGTGTGAACAAATCAATACAAATCAGATTTACTTGATAAATAAAACACGTGTTTATTTACACAAATATTTTCAAATACTAGTCTTCTACATAAGGACATAAAAATATATACAGTGATGTAAGGACTCAACTTTATTATGTCGATGTATGCATGTATTTTTCATATGTTGAGATCTCCAATGAAAAAAGTATGCATATGTACAGCAGAGTCTATACTAACACAGGATTCCCATTTCTGGCACTAAAACGCAGGGAAAATTCAACCCCTTCAAGTTCAATACATGGTGATCGATCCAAGAAACCTAGCCCCGAAACAAACTAAATACAAAAAGAAAACCACTTTCCTCAGGTACTAACAGCAGATGGATACAAATACATTTCAAGCCAACTTAACCAGGACTCCGGTGCCTTCATATTCAGTTGTGATCTTATACCTAACACCGTCCATATTTTCTCCACATATAACTCTAACTCTCCCAGAGAAAACAAAAAAGGTTTGGTCAATCTCCTCTTTCCCTAGCGATTGAGGAAACAGTTTTTTACGACTTTAATTAATTCAAGGAACTGGACAGCAGCAAGTTTGAGATAAACTTTTCAAAATAACCAAACGGATGGCTTTGCCTGGCTTTCGAAGGGATCGAATGACAATACTGCATTCAAACCATTGCCACTGTAAATTAAACCAATCCAGCATACCACAGCATTTCAGTACAAAAAAGGAAAACTGTCAGGGAACCCTTACATCAAAAAGAAAACTAGGTATCCAGTACGGTAGAAAGGCAAGACATACTATTCAGGCTGAAGTGTTGAAGTGTCATTTGGATACGTTGAGTGAGGAAGCTTCAGTTTTTCAACACACGACTGGAGCACAGAACAGCACCAAACACTTCCAAATACTGTGGGGAAGTCTTTCATAATGGTGGTATAGAGTAGCAGACTGGACTAAATCTGGGAATTGTTTAAGGTGTGCTCGCCAGCGCTCGTTTGACAAGGTTGCATTGGTAAACTGCAGACTGCTCCTTTTGGTCTGAATGCTACCATGCCTTTCCTGTTATCTTCCACTAACTACTTGTCAGTAATGTACAACAAAAAAACGTGTTGGGGGGAGGAACCCACATCACCCTTGGATTCGTGACTCATTCTCGGACTGTGGACATAGCCACACACAGCCCCAGTCATCAAGATGAAATAAATACCTGCATGTGTCAATTACACAGAACATTCATTTCATGTCAGGTTAACTCAAGTTCATTAAAGGAGAAACAAATAAACATTGTTCAGGCGAGAAAGCCTTCAGAGGTTGGCATTCCTGGATCTAAGGGCAGTCGGACCGAGTGAATAAGTGAGTAAGAGATGTTGGTGCGTGCCTGCATGAGTGGCAGCCATAGGTTGCTCCCCTGGGGGTGCCATCACTGGGGGGCACTAGCGGCAGTGGGCACAGGGGTGCTCAGGGCGTTGGTGGCAGCAGAGAGGACGGGCGAGCCGGTGAGGTTGCCCAGGGCAGTAGCAGCTGGCAAGGCAGAGATACCTTGAGAGAGAAAGGGGAAATTTAGCTTAACCACTGTACACCATATACAGTGGGGGAAAAAAGTATTTAGTCAGCCACCAATTGTGCAAGTTCTCCAAATTAAAAAGATGAGAGCCCTGTACTTTTCATCATAGGTACACGTCAACTATGACAGACAAATTGAGAAAAAAAAAAATCCAGAAAATCAAATTGTAGGATTTTTAATGAATTTATTTGCAAATTATGGTGGAAAATAAGTATTTGGTCACCTACAAACAAGCAAGATTTCTGGCTCTCACAGACCTGTAACTTCTTCTTTAAGAGGCTCCTCTGTCCTCCACTCGTTACCTGTATTAATGGCACCTGTTTGAACTTGTTATCAGTATAAAAGACACCTGTCCACAACCTCAAACAGTCACACTCCAAACTCCACTATGGCCAAGACCAAAGAGCTGTCAAAGGACACCAGAAACAAAATTGTAGACCTGCACCAGGGTGGGAAGACTGAATCTGCAATAGGTAAGCAGCTTGGTTTGAAGAAATCAACTGTGGGAGCAATTATTAGGAAATGGAAGACATACAAGACCACTGTTAATCTCCCTCGATCTGGTACTCCACGCAAGATCTCACCCCGTGGGGTCAAAATGATCACAAGAACGGTGAGCAAAAATCCCAGAACCACACGGGGGGACCTAGTGAATGACCTGCAGAGAGCTGGGACCAAAGTAACAAAGCCTACCATCAGTAACACACTACGCCGCCAGGGACTCAAATCCTGCTGTGCCAGACGTGTCCCCCTGCTTAAGCCAGTACATGTCCAGGCCCGTCTGAAGTTTGCTAGAGTGCATTTGGATGATCCAGAAGAGGATTGGGAGAATGTCATATGGTCAGATGAAACCAAAATAGAACTTTTTTGTAAAGACTCAACTCGTCGTGTTTGGAGGACAAAGAATGCTGAGTTGCATCCAAAGAACACCATACCTACTGTGAAGCATGGGGGTGGAAACATCATGCTTTGGGGCTGTTTTTCTGCAAAGGGACCAGGACGACTGATCCGTGTAAAGGAAAGAATGAATGGGGCCATGTATCGTGAGATTTTGAGTGAAAACCTCCTTCCATCAGCAAGGGCATTGAAGATTAAACGTGGCTGGGTCTTTCAGCATGACAATGATCCCAAACACACCACCCGGGCAATGAAGGAGTGGCTTCGTAAGAAGCATTTCAAGGTCCTGGAGTGGCCTAGCCAGTCTCCAGATCTCAACCCCATAGAAAATCTTTGGAGGGAGTTGAAAGTCCGTGTTGCCCAGCGACAGCCCCAAAACATCACTGCTCTAGAGGAGATCTGCATGGAGGAATGGGCCAAAATACCAGCAACAGTGTGTGAAAACCTTGTGAAGACTTACAGAAAACCTTTGACCTGTGTCATTGCCAACAAAGGGTATATAACAAAGTATTAAGAAACTTTTGTTATTGACCAAATACTTATTTTCCACCATAATTTGCAAATAGATTCATAAAAAATCCTACAATGTGATTTTCTGGAGAAAAAAAATCTCAATTTGTCTGTCATAGTTGACGTGTACCTATGATGAAAATTACAGGTCTCTCATCTTTTTAAGTGGGAGAACTTGCACAATTGGTGGCTGACTAAATACTTTTTTTCCCCACTGTATCTCAGAGATAACCATGTGGGTTACTTAGAAAACACTCTTCCAAGGGAGTTCTGATGATGAAGTGAACTACGATATAACCAATGAGGATACATAGGAAAGATGACAACGGATGCACTGGCATATGGTGAGTTTAGCTCTTATGAAATGTATTGGATTGAATTACAGTATGTCAATTATGACAATGTGGTAACCCTTGATGGAAGATAGTCCAATTAGCGTGGACAAATACAGCAGCCGAACATGCTTAATTCAATCTTAACACAGACCAAGTCGGCTGCTTGATTCGATTTAATTTCCAAACTCGGCCTCCCGCAGACAAAACATCCTTCTTAACATTGAGTGATGGGAGTCTCTGGGAGTTCAGATGAAGCCACATGGGTGGGGGGTTAGGATGATTAGGGTGTGTGTGTTTGCGCTCACCAGTGATCATGTTGGCTGTGCTTGTGGCTGTATTTCCGCTGGGCAGGTTAGCCGACCCCGGCATGCGACCCTGGTCTTTCACAATGGGATCTTTGTGGACAAAAGAACAACTCAAATTAAACACTGAACAATCGTTAGTCTCGAGTCCCTAGTCACTGCAAGGAGATGGTCATAAGGAACTGCTGATAACCAGTGAACTGGGTCGTGTTCATTACGCACAAAATTAAGGAAAGCAGAGTAAACCGAGGAGCCACTACCTGAACGTTTCCAACAAGAAACGCTTGTTTTCGTTTGCCGTTGTAAAACGTTTTGCTTGTGTGCCTAAACCAAAATAATCATTCCCCCTACCCCAAAAACTAAATCATTTTTTTTTTTTTTTTTTTTTTTTTTTTTTTTAAATAGGCCGTAGTTTGCCCACCCCTGCGATAAACCACAGGTGCCTTCCAATCTCATCAATATGGGTCCGAGGTCTGACGTAAAAAATTAACCCTATACTTAACCATTTATTAACCCTATACTTAACCATATATTAACCCTATACTTAACCATATATTAACCCTATACTTAACCGGATCCCTCCCCTAGCCTTACATTTATGTTTTCACGATATAGCCAATTTTGACTTTGCAGTTTGGCTAAATATACTGGCAACCGGATCCCTCCTCGCACTTACAGTAGTAAGGGTGATCCATGGCCTCACGGGCGGTCAGCCGGGCCTGATGGTCATAGCGCAGCAGCTTGTCCAGGAAGTCCAGGCCCTCGGGGCTGACCAGGTGCTGGTTCTCACTGTGGACGAAGCGCTCCCACCGCTTACGAGAGTGTCTGGAAGGGGAGAGCAGGTTAGCAGCAGTGCAAAAAAGAAAGAGAAACCCCTATGCACAGCAGTGTGTCTAGATTCAGGTGTTGGTTTTGGCAGGAACAACTAACATCCCTTTCAAACCAAGACGAAAACCTTTGGCATGCAGCCAACTTCATTTTTTTTTTTGGGGGGGGGGGGGGGGGGGGGGGGGGGGCGCAATGTGTTTAAAAGTCTCACCAACCCCTCAGTATAAAAGAAAAGTCCCCTTTCATCTTACCGTCTTTGGCATGCATTAAATCATGAACATTCTATTGTTGTAGTCCGACATCAAACTTGTTCTTGCCATTATGAAAAATGTTAAAACACAAAAATGGCAGTAATGCTTAAGCGGCATTGGCGCACACTACACTGACAGGCATGTATCAAATTGTTGCTTACTGAAACTCCAAGTTATCCAATCGTTATAATACATTCTAAGCAATACCTGCGTGTGGTCAACTATATGATCATTTCAGCACTGTTTTGATTGGGACAGTGCCACAGACAAGCGTGGGGACTCTGGAAAAATCAATCAATGTCAGATTTTTGTTTTCACTGAATCTGTTTGGATATTTGGTTACAATTAGGCTGGGGAAATGTTAGCTAGGTCGAGGTGAGTACTGCTCATGATCCTCTGTAGTCTAGTTGGCTGTATTAGCACTAATCAGAACATTTTGCTAACAAGTTATGTAGCTTAACAAGTGGATTCTTTTGCTCTTCACTCACCTTTTAGCCTACTCCCAACCAAAAGCCTGTGACTTGCCTGATAATCAAGCAATGTGATTTTGTTTCACAGAATCTGTTTGTATATTTGGTTAATTGGTCCCTGGCTGGGCAAATAAATACATGGAGGTGGTAGCTCATCTATCACAGATCAGAAACATTTAGCATGCAATAATGTAGCCTAAATCAAGTGTAGGCCTATTATTTTGCTTGATTGGGTATAGGCAACTCCAAAAGCCTGCAGAGGTTGTGAAATATGAACATTAAAATCTAGATTTTTTTATCACTCCCTAACAACGCAGTGTGAGGATAGGACAAAATGAAACGTGGATCAAAAGTGACTTTCAAATTATAGAGGTTCATTCAGGTCAGATTTAGATTTTAGTTACATGATCAGAAAGAGCTGATTAAGGTTTCTCAACCACATACAATTTCTCAAAAAGGTGTCGGCATGGGCTTTGTTTAAAAATATCACTATTTTGTTACAGTGGCTTGCGAAAGTATTCACCCCTCTTGGCATTTTTCCTATTTTGTTGCCTTACAACCTAGAATTAAAATGGATTTTGGGGGGGGGGGTTGTATCATTTCATTTAAACAACATGCCTACCACTTTGAAGATCCAAAACATTTTTTCTTGTGAAACAAACAAGAAATAATAAATAAAAAAAACAGAACCTGAGTGTGCATAACTATTCACCCCCCAAAAGTCAATACTTTGTAGAGCCACCTTTTGCAGCAATTACAGCTGCAAGCCTCCTGGGGTATGTCTCTATAAGCTTGGCACATTTAGCCACTGGGATTTATGCCCATTCTTCAAGGCAAAACTGCTCCAGCTCCTTCAAGTTGGATGGGTTCCGCTGGTGTACAGCAATCTTTAAGTCATACCACAGATTCTCAATTGGATTGAGGTCTGGGCATTGACTAGGCCATTCCAAGACATTTAAATGTTTCCCCTTAAACCACTCAAGTGTTGCTTTAGCAGTATGCTTAGGGTCATTGTCCTGCTGGAAGGTGAACCTCCGTCCCAGTCTGAAATCTCTGGAAGACTGAAACAGGTTTCCCTCAAGAATTTCCCTGTATTTAGCGCCATCCATCATTCCTTCAATTCTGACCAGTTTCCCAGTCCCTGCCGATTAAAAACATCCCCACAGCATGATGCTGCCACCACCATGCTTCACTGTGGGGATGGTGTTCTCAGGGTGATGAGGTGTTGGGTTTGCACCAGACCAATTTTAGTCTCATCTGACCAGAGTACCTTCTTCCATATGTTTGAGGAGTCTTCCACATGCCTTTTGGCGAACACCAAACGTGTTTGCCAATTTTTTTCTGTAAGCAATGGCTTTTTTCTGCCACTCTTCTGTAAAGCCCAGCTCTGTGGAGTATATGGCTTAAAGTGGTCCTATGGACAGATACCCCAATCTCCGCTGTGGAGCTTTGCAGCTCCTTCAGGGTTATCTTTGGTCTCTTTGTTGCCTCTCTGATTAATGCCCTCCTTGCCTGGGCCGTGAGTTTTTGTGGGTGGCCCTCTCTTGGCAGGTTTGTTGTGGTGCCATATTTCAATTTTTCAACAATGGATTTAATGGTGGGATGTTCAAAGTTTGATATTTTTTTATAACCCAACCCTGATCTCCACAACTTATTCCCTGACCTGTTTGGAGAGCTCCTTGGTCTTCATGGTGCCACTTGCTTGGTGGTGCTCCTTGCTTAGTGGTGTTGCAGACTCTGGGGCCTTTCAGAACAGGTGTTTATATCCTGAGATCATGTGACAGATCATTTGACACTTAGATTGCACACAGGTGGACTTTATTTAACTAATTATGTGACTTCTGAAGGTAATTGGTTGCACCAGATCTGATTTAGGGGCTTCAAAGCAAAGCGGGTGAATACATATGCACGCACCACTTTTCCGTTATTTATTTTATAGAATTTTTAGAAACAAGTTATTTTTTTCATTTCACTTCACCAATTTGGACTATTTTGTGAATGTCCATTACATAAAATCCAAATAAAAATCTATTTAATTGACAGGTTGTAACGCAACAAAATAGGAAAAACGTCAAGGGGGATGAATACTTTTGCAAGGCACTGTATATGACCGCGGTTCCACACGATCCTGTGACACTCAAGTTGTGTGATTTTTTTTTATTTCTATTTTATTGTTATATTACATTATATTCTTACTATAAAATATATGTGTGTTGACTGATCAGGACAGGGGAATGTGTGTGTATTATCTGTTTTAATGAACAAAATAAACTATTGATTTAATTTGCAAGGCACAGCTATGTAGCCTATAGGCTGCACAGACCAGTAACAAAATGAAACTCAAAATATACTATTGTATTCTTTTAAAAACACATTTTATTTGTCTTAACTAATGAATAATGGATTTCTTTGTGATGGTGTATTTTCATTGGAGTTAATAAAATAGACGCCCACCCTCATCTACCACTCGTCACCGGCATGCGCACAGGAGGTATAAAAGGCGTATGCAGGCAAGAATGTGGTAAACATGGGCCTGTTTGAAAGGGGGGTCATAAACATTGCATTTTTTTTTTTTTTTTTACAGGCAACATATCGTAAATCCTATGTGAAAGGAGTATAAGTTTATAAACCAAGTGTACAATAACGCACACTAGTGAAGACAGACAACGCACCTTCCCAGAATGTCATTGAACCGAGGCTCCAGCTCAATGTTGTACTTGTCGATGTAGTCATACAGGTCTTCCGTTCCCAACACCTTGGCTATTCTCACCAACTACAAAGTGAGAAAAAACATCTAGTCATTCATCTCACCTGGGGTGTATTCAGTGACGTGAAACGCTCTGACCATTGCAGATAGAAATGGACCCGACAGAATCATATCTGTTCTACACAGTCTATTTCTAACTGTAGGTTCTGTAACCTTGCACCCTCCTGAACAGGCCCAAGGTTATTTTCTTCACTGATAATGAGTATGTCCTTTGAGACATGGTGGACAAAGTATTGGAGTGTGTGTTTACCTGGTCGTAGTTGTCGTGGCCGTGGAAGAAAGGCTCCTTCCTGAAGATCATGCTGGCCAACATGCAGCCCAAGCTCCACATGTCCAGACTGTAGTCATACATCTGGACAAAGATAGTGAAATCAATAAGTTAGAAAAAAAGGTCAAGATATTTGGTTTTCACATTTCCCTGTCCAGCACGGTTCCAGTAACTATGGTGGATGCGTAAACAGCCCAGCACAGCTCAGTATTGTGAAAAGGGTATCTGTAATTATCTATATATATATATATGGGATCTACACAACAGCAAAGAATATAAACTGAGCACGTCACACAATTCATAACAGTAGCAGGACAACATACCTGATAGTCAACCAGAAGCTCGGGTCCTTTGAAGTAGCGAGAAGCCACTCGGACATTGTACTCCTGTCCTGGGTGGTAGAACTCAGCCAGACCCCAGTCAATAAGGCGCAGCTGGAAGAATACACAAACAGAGGCAAGTCAATATTGAGAGAAATATAACAGGGTTGCGCTTATTTGGGCACCAAACAGAGTGAAACTGGGAGGGACTACTTGGACTTTGGGGTATTGTTTTGAGGATTGTCGTGGTACAATATCTCATTTCTTAGAGCTCCAATTTCTATATAAACTAACCTACATATTGTAGTCACATTCAATGGATGACAAAGGTCTTGACTAGGGAGAATCAGATAGGGGGAATAACTGTGCCTCCGCTGCATTGGTCGTAAAATCTCACCTTGCGGTGTTCGTGATCAATCATCACGTTGTGGGGTTTCACGTCCCTGTGCATGATTCCCATGCTGTGGCAGTAGTCCAGGGCCTGTGCACAGAGCCAAAATGGCCGCCGGTTAGCAACGAGGAGGCTGGGGATTTACTCAACACAGTAATTAAATAAAGGCAGAAATAACAAAACAGACGTTGTGTACCCGTCTGGGCGCACAAACATGATGGGAAAATAGAGGGCTGGTATGTAACTGTCGGACAAAGACAAACAAGGGGCCTATATACTCTAAGCACCTGAATGTTCTTGTTTTGAGAGTGGGAAATGCTGACTCATGTCTGGCAAAGTCTCTGGGCTTCTAGCACAAATTAATGGGATAGTTCACCCAAATTACAAAAATACGAGACTCACCTTGAGGATCTCAAACATGTAGAACCGGATGTCATAGTCTGTTAGGGTCTGGTACAATTGCTGCAAGTAAAAACAGATGCAGTGAATCAATACAGTGATTTAACTCATCCCTGCACAGTACATGCGTATCCGTCTTCGCAACCGGAACCCATTATCCAATACAAATAATTAACATATTATTCAAATCACAAGCTATCAACTTGGGCATCTGACTGGTAACACTTAGGTCTACTATTAAGTAATTCAACACCAAACTTGATCATCGTGTACCAGCGATTGAGGATAGAACCAGAAGACAAAAAACATCCTGACACCGAAGACATTGCACTGCACCTTTTTGTCCCTCAACACACACAGACACACACAAACAGGAGTACGGGGAAACAGTATGCATGCCAAGAAAGAAGGTTTCATAGGGCTTTGTTTCAGAATAGAGATGTTGTACACGGTCAAGAATCAGGGTCGTATTCATTAGCCACCAAACGGAAGAAAACAGACTGAAACGGAGAGGGACTACCTGGGGTGTAATCATTAGTCCAAACAGTTGAAAATTAGAGTTTCTATTGGACAAATTCAGGTAGGTCCCCGCCCCTTTTCGTTTGGTTCCGTTTGGTTCCTAGTGAATACACCCCTGAACTTGTCCAATAAGAAACTATTTCATGTTCTGTTGCAAAATGTTTTGCTGCGATGTGCATAAGACGGATGCTCTGGCTTACCTTGAAGTCAGTGTTGTTGACATGTTCAAAGACCAAGGCGGGTGTCCGAGACTGAAAGAAGAGAAGGGGTTGTTGCATCAAAGTCATGTCCTCTAAAAGAACAATACTGTTTTCACATCTTTCCCGCCATTCCTACTCACCACTGGGTCTTTGACGATGTCTATGAGGGAGATGATGTTAGGGCCTCCGCGGAGGTTCTCCAGGATCTTAATTTCACGCTTGATTTTCTTCTTTTTTACAGGCTATGGACACAATTAAAGACCAATTGTATTGATTGTCAGGGCAGTTTTACTTCAATATGAATCCAACGCGAGTCTGTATCGAATGGCAATCTATTAATCTATGATCTGAACGATATTGATTTCTCATCGTTACCTTGAGTATTTTCACCACAACCTTCTCGTTGTTGGTGATGTTGACTGCTTCAAACACTTCACTGTACTTCCCGCGTCCCAGCTTCCGCACCAACTGGAAGTCATCTTGATTTCTGCGGGAAGAATTGTTTGTCAATTACACCATTCAAGGAATTTGAAATTAAACTGCAAATAACACAAAGGGAGCAGACCTTGATCTAGCCTTGAGATTTAACATGGTGTCATGACTTTCCCTTATGGGTTGAGGATCAAAGATGCCGGCTAGGCAAAGGTTTGAACACCCCCTTTCCTGGGGGCCAGTTTTATGACGGGTCGTAAATTCCTCGCAGAAACTACCTTTTCCGTGCCTTGCAGTATTAGGAGTCTTCCCGCCAAGACTCCAACATCCAAAAGTGGATAATGAAACAATATTCCTACTTCAAAGAATGTGGGAAATGGTCGGAGGGGACTTAAAGAACAATCATGTCAAATTCGTTACTATGTTGTGATGTCATTAAAGATGGTGGAACAACATAACTGTATCTATTGGGGTGTACACTTCCCAGTTATGAGGTTTGAAATCTAATTGTTGTATAAAATGAATGATTAAGTAAACTGCTCAAAAAAATAAAGGGAACACTTAAACAACACAATGTAACTCCAAGTCAATCACACTTCTGTGAAATCAAACTGTCCACTTAGGAAGCAACACTGATTGACAATAAATGTCACATGCTGTTGTGCAAATGGAATAGACAACAGGTGGAAATTATAGGCAATTAGCAAGACACCCCCAATAAAGAAGTGGTTCTGCAGGTGGTGACCACAGACCACTGCTCAGTTCCTATGCTTCCTGGCTGATGTTTTGGTCACTTTTGAATGCTGGCGGTGCTTTCACTCTAGTGGTAGCATGAGACGGAGTCTACAACCCACACAAGTGGCTCAGGTAGTGCAGCTCATCCAGGATGGCACATCAATGCGAGCTGTGGCAAGAAGGTTTGCTGTGTCTGTCAGCGTAGTGTCCAGAGCATGGAGGCGCTACCAGGAGACAGGCCAGTACATCAGGAGACGTGGAGGAGGCCGTAGGAGGGCAACAACTCAGCAGCAGGACTGCTACCTCCGCCTTTGTGCAAGGAGGAGCAGGAGGAGCACTGTCAGAGCCCTGCAAAATGACCTCCAGCAGGCCACAAATGTGCATGTGTCTGCTCAAACGGTCAGAAACAGACTCCATGAGGGTGGTATGAGGGCCCGACGTCCACAGGTGGGGGTTGTGCTTACAGCCCAACACTGTGCAGGACGTTTGGCATTTGCCAGAGAACACCAAGATTGGCAAATTCGCCACTGGCGCCCTGTGCTCTTCACAGATGAAAGCAGGTTCACACTGAGCACATGTGACAGATTTGACAGAGTCTGGAGACGCCGTGGAGAACGTTCTGCTGCCTGCAACATCTTCCAGCATGACCGGTTTGGCGGTGGGTCAGTCATGGTGTGGGGTGGCATTTCTTTGCGGGGGCCGCACAGCCCTCCATGTGCTCGCCAGAGGTAGCCTGACTGCCATTAGGTACCGAGATGAGATCCTCAGACCCCTTGTGAGACCATATGCTGGTGCGGTTGGCCCTGGGTTCCTCCTAATGCAAGACAATGCTAGACCTCATGTGGCTGGAGTGTGTCAGCAGTTCCTGCAAGAGGAAGGCATTGATGCTATGGACTGGCCCGCCCGTTCCCCAGACCTGAATCCAATTGAGCACATCTGGGACATCATGTCTCGCTCCATCCACCAACGCCACGTTGCACCACAGACTGTCCAGGAGTTAGCGGATGCTTTAGTCCAGGTCTGAGAGGAGATCCCTCAGGAGACCATCTGCCACCTCATCAGGAGCATGCCCAGGCATTGTAGGGAGGTCATACAGGCACGTGGAGGCCACACACACTACTGAGCCTAATTTTGACTTGTTTTAAGGACATTACATCAAAGTTGGATCAGCCTGTAGTGTGGTTTTCCACTTTAATTTTGAGGGTGACTCCAAATCCAGACCTCCATGGGTTGATAAATTTGATTTCCATTGATAATTTGTGTGATTTTGTTGTCAGCACATTCAACTATGTAAAGAAAAATGTATTTAATAAGATTATTTCATTCATTCAGATCTAGGATGTGTTATTTTAGTGTTCCCTTTATTTTTTTGAGCAGTGTATAATAATACTTTTGTGAAGATAATGTGATTTTAGCATTCTAGATGAGATGATTGTTTCCATATTGATTTGTTCTCAGTCAGTGGCCACGCCCAGACGCCTTTTCTACTCAAGTATCGAAATTCACCTTTGCAACGGATGTTGCAAATGGTTGAATTTCTACAAGACCAGGAAGCGTGAAGCTGCAGCTACACGGCTTAAAATGGTTAGAACAAGAACAGGAAGCCCCACGGCTTAATATGGTTGATACTCTACAGACCAGCCGACATGCAGCGCGAGCTGAATATGGTAAAATGGTGAAACTCTGAAACTCTCAACCTTTACACGAGGTGAAGAAGAAGACAACACACTAGACCTTTGCATTACCAGTTTGCAGCTGGCATGTATAGTCGTCTAGAGAACTTTTACTAGACACGAGTTGCGAAGGACAATCCCTCTCAGACAACCGTTGATACATCTGATGTATCTATCTAACAGATCAACTCTACAAACTACAGGGTACGCTGAAGTATACATTCTAACCACCACTACGACCAGAAACTCTACCAAGGACATTGGGATCTCTGGTGGGCAAACCAGAGTCCTACATCATCAACTCAACTATCGAAGACAGCTACAAGTAAATACATGTTGCATTTCTAATCCGAATGAGCGGTTATTAGGGTGCATAAGTATTATGATTACTGTGAGCGTAGTCTCCAAAGTAACAACAATAGTTTGAATCTCTGTCTCTCCCTTCCATTTGACCCTCCTTCTACCCAAGCATTCATGCTATTGTTCGTCCAGTCCACTAGGGACCTGTTCTCATTGTATTACGTTAGTAATCAATAACCTGTGTGTGTGTTTGTATTCTGTGATATTATTTAGTTTGTTAGTGAATAAATAAAGGCAATTTGTGTATTGCTGATTCATCAATAAGGATAGGGTTCTTGCAGGTTTAAGGATTATGCGATGTTCAGAATGATACCGATAAGAGGTAATTATTTGATAAGTGAATGTTATCGATATATTATATATATATATTCTAAGAGTTTAATTTGGGAGATGGTAACTTGTTAAACAACTTTTTCCGTGGTGCCCCAAATTCCTAATGAGTTATTTGTTACATGATTAATTTAATCGAGTGACAATTAAACATAGTTAGTTGATTCGATAAATAACAGTCGGCATATTAATACAAGTCACGTCAAGACAATGGAATGAAGAGAAATAGTAATTTCAGTCTCCTCATAATAGTTTAGCAAGCACCAACGTTGCTGTGACTTTAAAGACTGGGTGCGTGTTGCTGGTACGTACCCCCATTCCACCACATGGGACTCGTAGTCCCAGTACTCCCTGGGCCGGTGTGTGTTGACATCTGTGTACACGCGGGCCCGACTCGGCACGGGTCCTGGCATGTCCGACAGCTTGGCAGAGGAGGGGGGAGGGCACTTACTGCAGAGAAGGACGAGGAGGGAAGAGGGAGAGGAGGGAAGGTGGGGGGAGGGGAGGGGGGCCTCTTCTTGACAGGGCAGGGGGTAAGGGGGGGGGGGCTTTGGCTGTAAGCAAGGGGAGCCACCAGGGGCACCTCTGGACAGCTGAGACAACAGGGGGAAGAAAAGAAACAGTGTCAGTTATATTCGTGGACCTCTATAGCTCAGTTGGTAGCGCATGGCACTTGCAACGCCAGGATAGTGTGTTCGATTACCAGGACCACCCATACATAAAATGCATGCACGCATGAACGTAAGTCGCTTTGGATAAAAGCGTCTGCTAAATGGCATATATTATTATTATTTGAGACCTAGGCCAGATCAAATAAGCATCATTGATATGTGGAAGAAAAAAAAACTTCCCGCAGACAATCACAAAGTTGACAGGTGAGTGTAAAATCTATTTGATGCAGTTACATTTACAACACTGCATTTGTTGACCACAAGACTAAAAAAAGTGAAGAAGCTAGAAGGCTATGGATTGTTGCATGCAAAATTCCAGGCCTGACTACCAGTAGGTTGTTTTAAAATGGGTCACTGCACCGCCCCAAAAGTATTGACACAATGTTAAATTACTAAGGCTGGCGGGGATAAGCTATATGACTATTGACTTAATTTAAAACGCTAAATCCATTCCAGGGTTTTTTCTGCATAGTAAAGTCTTCGGCGGGCCATCTATGTCCAAACAGTTAATTAAAAAAATATGTAGAAAAGATAATGGACCTATATATTTTTTTTATAAGATCTTTGAGAACTAACAATCAACAAAATAAAAGCTATACAGTCAGAGAGAATTTTAAATTCCAAGAATGATGCATGCAGAAGTATTTTTGTCATGGCATGATTTTGTTATAATGTTTGAGTCATTCAGAGTGCAGAAGTCATGGCGAAATGTGTAGAATTGCAGGAAATGTGCTTTAAAACTGCAAAATGATGTACCTGCGGCCAACAAGAGAGCCTCAAAAATGTTTGGTTGCCAACAGCACCATTGGCCACACCCACCACCTAAACCCCATTTTTATCCTGAAAAAACCCTGCATCTCTTACTTCCATGATCATGAATATGTTTGATGGAATTCATCATTAACGCCGCAACTTCTTTTTAAAGAAATTGTCAAAAAAGGTGGGAAAATAATATAGCATTTGGCTTTTTATTCTATTTTTAACTGAGAAAATCCCATTTGTTCAGCAAAAGGTTCATAATACTCAAACAGGCTTCTATTGCTAAATTAAGATATCCATCCATATTTCTTGCCAATAGACCAATTCCATCTGCAATATAGTAAAGCCTAAGCTTATCTTTGCCAGCAATGGACAAACGGTCATAACTGTGGTGCCTATCATAGATATCCTCAATGGAGCCAATTTAACAAAGCAGCCCATGCATTTGTGGTTTACCCGGTCGTAATAGTGAACTGGGGGAATGCAGTTTTACCCAGAGGCTCATTTTACCTAGCTTTGAGATATGTGCCTGGTACATATTTTTATTTATTTATAGGCCTACACCAAGTTCTTACACCTCAGATTAGACTAGGCTTGAAGAACTTAAGTATTATCTTCTGGGAAAAGTAAGAATATAAGAATGTAATATCTGCAACATTAATTGCACAAGACTCACCGACTAGTGTCCATACTGTTTCAACTTGCCAGCTAAGTAGGACAAGGATTGTCAGCTAGCTGCAGTTACTTCAAGCTGTTAACATGTCATTACAACAGAGTGTATTTTGTAGTGGATGTGAAACTCGCCTGGAGTACATCACACCTTCCCTGAGATCTAAGTCAACTGTCGCTCACTGAGTGATGCGGAGCGAACCAACAACCACTCTGTGATTAACAAGTTACCTTTAGATTTCAGGGATGGCGCGATATTAATGGGGTGTATTCATTTCGAGGCTTCTGTTGCAAAACGTTTTGCAATGGAAACTGTTTAATCCAAACGGAAAACGTTTTGCAACGAAAACTTGAGTTTCTATTGGACAAATTATTGTAGGTCCCTTCCCGTTTGGTTCCGTTTGGTTCATAGAGTAAACGGTTTCCGTTGCAACATGCCACAGGCGAGTTTCACATCATAATATTATAAAGTTAGGCTAGCTAGTTTTATTTGAATATGTGGCTATTAATAATCTCCTTCTGCAATGGATGCAATCTTTTAGGGAAAAGTGGTGTTGCTGCCCTCTGCCTATGATATAGTTAACTAATGTCATGTTTGATAAGAAACATGTGTCTAGCTATATTGAGGAATAACAAAAGTTAGTTAGCCCAGTGCCCCACATTTCAAGTAGCTCTATGAAAGTTCGCTAACGTTAATTGGCAAACGTTTGCGAAATCAACGTGTCAGCTGGTAGTTAGCTAGCTAACTAACTCGTGTGGCTGGTTCCCGCAGTTTGGCATCTGTAGCTAACTACATTGGATAGTCGTGTTATCCAACTAGATAGATACAGTTAGCTAGGTACCGGTAGTCTCCCTACCCCACCATCACCCTCTCGCCCCAACTTACATGCGTCGTAGCTAGCTAGTCACCGGGTCCCACTGCTGGCTTGCTAGCTAAATCGGTTAATATTGCTAACTGACTGCTTGTTTCATAAAATATTTTAAACCATAGGCCAAACTTCCATTGTATAGCTACCTATTTTATCAAATATGCGACCCAAATCCTTTCTTGGGATCCAAGTGAAGGCAGGGTCCCTTTCTTTCCTCTCGCCGGTGTACTTGCGTTTGATTTCTGCTGTCTCAGAGACAATATGGCGGACTACCGCGAAGGGTGTAATTGCAGACCGCAATTTGGGGCGTTTTCTGATAGGGGCGTTTCTTGATATCAAGTCATACCCATTGATGCTCGCCTTCCGTGGCCTTTTATTTTAAGTGCATATTTTTATTTACGAAGAAAGCTGGACAAAGGCTGGCCAGTGTTTGTTTGAGAGAGGGCTTGACAACAAGCTCGGGATGGAAATGGCAGCGAGTAGTGTGGACGAAATGGAGAAAACGTTGGAGAAGCAACAGCTGTGCTGGAATGCGAACAATATGGGTGTCAGTTCTGATGACATGGAGCGGGAGGATGAGGGTCCTGGACCAGAATGGTCTGCCGTGGAAATAGTGTACAGAGGAAGAAGAGAGATCATGATAGTGAAAGCAGTGGCGTGTCTAGTAAAGAAAGCATAAAGAGGGCCAAGGTAGGAAGGAAGAGTAATGATGTGTTGGAGTGGAAAGTGGTGATAGTGTTTGATGGGACCATAGGGCCTCATTTACATGTACATTTACATTTAGGTCATTTATCCAGAGCGACTTACTTGATAGCCAGTGGGACAACCACTTTACAATTTTTTTAAAAAATATTTTCAAATTTTTTAAATCTTAATTTTTAGAGTATATTTATAATTTTCATTTGTTTTATATATTTATTTATTTATTATTTGTCATTTTTTATTTTTATATTTAAAAGTTTTTATAAATAATTTTAGTATTTATTTATTTTATTCCTTTTTATATTTTTTTTTTGGGGGGGGTGTGTAGAAGGATTACTTTTATACTATCCCAGGTATTCCGTAAAGAGGTAGGGTTTCAAGTATCTCCAGAAGGTGGTCAGTGACTCCGCTGTCCTGGCGTCGTGAGGGAGCTTGTTCCACCATTGGGGTGCCAGAGCAGCGAACAGTTTTGACTGGGCTGAGCGGGAACTGTGCTTCCACAGAGGTAGGGGGACCAGCAGGCCAGAGGTGGAAGAACGCAATGCCCTCGTTTGGGTGTAGGGACTGATCAGACCCTGAAGGTAAGGAGGTGCCGTTCCCCTTACAGCTCCGTAGGCAAGCACCATGGTCTTGTAGCAGATGCAAGCTTCAACTGGAAGCCAGTGGAGTGTGCGGAGGAGCGGGGTGACGTGAGAGAACTTGAGAGAATTTACACCCTATCTGACTAACCAATGGCGTAGAGAAAGAGATAGGTGAAATCAAACTAGCCCGGTTAATTGGAAAAGGTAGATTGCTAATATTTTATGGTAGTCAGGCTCAGCAAGAGAAGATTCTGGAAATTGAAGAGGGGGGGAGGGGGGGGGGGGGGGGGGGGGGGGGGGGGGGGATGCCAGGTGCAGCATTTGGTGGATGCCAGGTGCAGAGAGAGGCTAGAGAGGCTCAGCGATATACACTGAACAAAAGTATGAACGCAACATGAAAAGTGTTGGTCCCATGTTTCATGAGCTGAAAAAAAAAAATCCCAGGAAGTTCCATACCAGTGGTGACCCGTCATTCAGGGCAGGTGGGGCAGAGCCTTAAAAAATCATTAAGCTTTGAGGGCACTATGGTGTTGAACGCTGAGCTGTAGTCAAGGAATGTGGAGTGCAATAGAGATTGCATCATCTGTGGATCTGTTGGGGCGGTATGCAAATTGGAGTGGGTCTAGGGTTTCTGGGATAATGGTGTTGTGAACCATGACCAGCCTTTCAAAGCACTTCATGGCTACAGACGTGAGTGCTACGGGTGGGTGGTCATTTAGGCAGGTTATCTTAGTGTTCTTGGGCACAGGGACTATGGTGGTCTGCTTGAAACATGTTGGCATTACAGACTCAGTCAGGGACATGTTGAAAATGTCAGTGAAGACACTTGCCAGTCGGTCAGCGCATACTCAGAGTACGCGTTCTGGTAATCCATGAATGTTGACCTGCTTAAAAGTCTTACTCACATCGGCTATGGAGAGAGTGATCACATAGTCATCTGGAACAGCTGATGTTCTCATGCATGCTTCAGTGTTGCTTGCCTCGAAACGAGCATAGAAGTGATGTAGCTCGTCTGGTAGGCTTGTGTCACTGGGCAGCTCGCGGCTGTGCTTCCCTTTGTAGTCTGTAATAGTTTGCAAGCCCTGCCACATCCGACGAGCGTCGGAGCCGGTGTAGTACGATTGAATCTTAGTCCTGTATTGACTCTTTGCCTGTTTGATGGTTCGTCGGAGGGCATAGCGGGATTTCTTATAAACGTCCGGGTTAGTGTCCCGCTCCTTGAAAGCGGCAACTCTACCCTTTAGCTCAGTGCGGATGTTGCCTGTAATCCATGGCTTCTGGTTGGAGTATGTACGTACGGTCACTGTGGGGATGACGTCATCGATGCACTTATTGATGAAGCCAGTGACTGATGTGGTGTACTCCTCAATGCCATCGGAAGAATCCTGGAACATATTCCAGTCTGTGCTAGCGAAACAGTCCTGTAGCTTAGCATCTACCGTAGCTTTGATTGGAATCATCATGTCAACATCATACTTTCAAAATCTTAGCTAGCAAGTTAGCAGTCATCATCATGAATAAATTTGACTATCTACTGGCAAATTATTTTCAATCATTGTCGTATGAAGAGAAATTATGAAAATAAATTATAGATAAAACGTGTCGGTGCTCATTGGCCATTGGACATGAACATTACACAACAAGTTGGAAATTGCAAATTCAACAATGAGTGGTTTGGAAGGAATCAGTATCTAACTGCAAGCATTGCAAAGCAATCACTAGCCTGCTATTCAGTGGAGTGGGTGTGTGGGCCAAGTCTAGGTTTAAGGGTCTCTTTTCCAAGCTTAAAAGGATAAACATTCAACATTGGCCATGCTGCCAATCCAGCATGACTTCTGCTGCGTTCAAAACAACTGGAATCTCGGAACTGGGAAATCTCAGACTTCAGTGAGTTCAAGACAACTGGAAACTCGGAAAAAAAAAAACTAGCTCTGACTGGGAAAATACATTTTGAACGGTCATCAAGCTCTGAATTCCAAGTCGGGAACTCGGGCCTCTTTCTAGAGCTCCGACCTGAAGATCACTGACGTCATGATTCAACCTTGTTTTTTTCTGAGTTCCCAGTTCTCTTGAAAGCACCATAAATCCAGAGAATGCCAGATTTTGATGACAAAGTTTGATGACAAAATTTGCCCACGAAGGACCGCCGCGCCACCTTCCTGTTCAAGTGAGTCAAAAAATGTATTGTATGCTGCTGCATAAATTATGTAATATTCCAGGGAGATACAGTGCCTTCGGAAAGTATTCAGACCCCTTTACTTTTTCCACATTTTGTACATTACAGCCTTAT